ATCGAAGTGGCCTGGTCGCAAGCGCTCCGGCACCCGGGCCGCATAGATGGTTGCTCCCAAAATGTACAGAAAACCTTGGAGAAGCAGCCAGCCGAGCCCGATTTGGCGTGTCATCTGCTCCAGACCGTACAAGCGTAAGCCGTGGATCACGGGGAACACCGCTGACAGACCCATGCCGACAAACATGGACGCACGGAATGGCCGCCACCGAGGCGTCCGGAAATGAGGGAAGATCGAAACAAGGATGCAGCCAAGACCGAGAAGCGCAGATCATCGTCCAATACAACCGTTGCAGATCAGGCATACAGTAGAATCCAAAGTACACGCTAGGCACGAAGCTGCCCACGATAAGCCCTACGATACCAACATAGTCAAACGTGTTTCCGATGCGGGCCACGAGGGGGGAGTGATTCGAAATGGTATGATATGTTGCAGACATGCCCAAACAGAAGGCTGCCCCCGCGAAGAAGCATCCAAAAGCAACCAGATCCGCCTGGGTGGCACTCTCATATCGCGGAGCTAGTGCCCGATAGAGAAGCCCAGCCGCTGGAACGGCCAGTAAAGACGGCAGCAGATGCGTGTAGATGTTGACCGTTTCATTGTGAAGGTAGGTCAAGGACTGCAGGGAGACCAGAAGAGAGAACGATGCCGGCCGATAGCCCGTGTGAATGTGCTGGTTGTCGCGCTGCCAATGGGGCAGATCATCCCAGTGAAGAAGCTTTCTGATGACTTGGGAAGGCTGTTCCAACACCGCAGCTGCCACCACAGCAGGCTGGCTGGTACCCAGATCCTTCTCATGGACTTGAGTGGGGCGACGCTGGCGAGTGGACATATTCCTCACATGCAGCATGCAGACAGAGTGACAGATCCCAGATCTCCGGTGAGCAGATGGCTGGCGGCTGCTCCGTAATCGGGGTGGTCCTCTAGGGAGTATACGCGTGAGAATGAGGTAAGATGACCGTCTAACAAGAACAGAAAAAGAAATATGTACACGGGAAAGCAGAGAAAAGGGTCAAAAAGAAGCAAAACAACCCCCCCAAAAACACCCCAACCCGAAGTGATGGTGAGGAACCTGAAGAAGAGCGTTGGGGATTCCGCGGAGTATCGCCGTTCCCTTTTGGGACTTTTGGCTCGTTGGGAAACCTGACAAACAGTGCAAATGAAACAAACACCGCGGCACTTCCCCGACGGGATCCCCGCAGATCATTCACCAGTCCATCAACTTTGGATAGCTTCATTCTCCAATTCGAGCATGACGCAATATCAATAACCTCCCTCTGTTTTCTTTTTTGAGATCCACTATATATATACATCATGGCTGGTCATGCGCAGCCCGGAAAAGCCCCAGGCAGTCGGTTAAAGCCCGTGGCAGACTCGCTCGACACCGTGGGGTTTGTATCCAAAGGCGATCAAAAGTATGCTCACGGCCTCCTGATACCCGTGGTGGAGCGACGATGCGGTTACCTGCGGCAGTGCTGACGCTCACAGATTGCTAGACCACAAGGTTCAGAAAGAGTACTATGACAAGATTGTAAATCGGTACATGGAGTTCTGCGCTCGCCATTCCAAAAACATAGAAGCGGCATGGACGTCCCTTCCCAGGAGCGCTTCGAGCGATGCCACCAGCAATCCGCCAGCTTCTCTTCCCTCCTCAAACAATAATAAGTCGACAGGGCCCCGTAGTCCTTCCCCATCTGCAGAACTATCCACCATCCTCCTCTCCCTCCGCAAGCTGCGCGAGGCGGTTTTGGCTACCAGCTCCAAGATTCCCATATCTTTCTCCCAGCAAGTCCACATCTTTTCCATCAAGCTCGCGATTCAAGCCCGACATCCTCCATCATACTTTCCTTCCTTTCGTTACATCCTCGAGGATTTACACACTTCTTCTCACCCCTTGCCGGACTCTGACTTGAAAGATCTCATTTCGTATTGGATCCTGGATTACGCCTGTCGACAGGAGGACATGGTTGCGGCTTATCAGCTACGTGCGCGTGCCCGCAGACGATACGGTTTTCAGTCATCGACTATAGACCGTGTATTGAACGCCCTGGCACATGATAACTGGATTGTGTTCTGGCAGATTCGGCAAGATGTAGATTCCCGGATGCGCGCCGTCATGAATTGGGCTGAAGACCGCGTCAGACGACATGCTCTCAAAGCAGTCGGCAAAGCTTATCTCAGCACTGACACCCGATGGATCACCGAAGGTTGCACCGGTGACAGCAATTGGACATGGGAGAACCTGGTAAAGGCGGAGAGCCTGGGCTGGGAGAAAGAGGGCGATAGAATCATTATTCGGAAGCCGAAGCAAAGACCGCAAAGTAATCTTGCACCCATAAAGGAGAATCCATGATGTTATCGCCGATAATGTCATTGCTGCATCGTTGATTGGCGCTTATACGGGCATTGGCGGAGTATGGCGTTTGTTTCAGGTGTATAGACAGCTATATGGCAGGAGGATCCGACAAGCATTTTTAGTATAGCGCACCAGACTTAGAACCTGGGATCTCCTTGCCATTGAAGTGTAGACTTTTCGTGATCCTTGCTGCTGTCATTAAAGTTTGAAGTCCCCGTTAGGCCGATCAAGATTAGTAGTCCCAGTGACGGGTTGTCTGGCCACAGTCTCTACAAGGTCGGTCTTTAGCTTGGCGGATTTGTCGGAACAGAGCTCATAGACTGTTGAGAGGTTGAACACGAGACTCGAGAACGAGTGATTTGTGTGCACCAGTGACTCAAGGACCTCACGTGCCTGTGGCAGGGTTAAGCACGGGCTTGGTGGTAGGTAATCTTTAGGGAATATGACTTACTTCGTTCAACCTACCAGTGTACAACAAGCACACCGCCAGGTTCTGCGAGATCATGGACTCATCGGGTCTGTGTTCCTCGTTGCCAAGTAAGGCGCGCCATTCAGCTACTGCGTCGTCGTACCGACCCTCGGCCATACTGAGAAGCGGGCGGAACACGGTGTTCCCGGCATCGCTCTCTTCGCCACACACCTGCCTCGCAGCATCAAGATCGCCAATTATGAGCATCAAAAGTACTTTCCTCAGTTTGTTGATCTCGCTTTCCGACTCCGCCATGCGCAAGCTAGCGAGTGACCTCCTGGCGGCATCCAAATCCCCCATTTCAATGAGCGCGTTCACATTTCTCATCCCGAGGTCAGACAGTCGTTCTCTCCACAACTTACGCTCTTCGGGGTCCATATCTGGCCGCAGAATCTCCCTTCGCGCTTCCAAGCCAATCTCGTAGAGTCCACCGATGCCCCTACGTGAGTCGCCGAACCCAATGCTCTGGAGTCTGATAGCCAACACCCGTAGGGGCCATGGTACGATGTGACGAGGATAGTTTGAGTGCTTATCAGACGTCCCGGAAATCGGTTCCACATAATAGAATGCGGAGCTCAGGTCTTCAAGCGCCTTTGATTCTTGCGCTGCAATGATCGTATTCCCAGATAGTTGCAGACACGCTAGCCGAGTGTAAAAAAGAGCAAAGATTCGTTTGATGTCAGTAGCCGAGATCAAAGAAGATGTTAAGATCGTTCCACACAAGTAAGCGGCGAGCAAAAAGTGGCCTTCAGCCAGAAGCCGCTCAAGAGTGGCCAGGCTTGTGGACAGCGATTCATCTGACGTTGGGGCAAGGAACTCGGAGCGAAGCGCGTGCGGTATTTCTACCTGAGAGAGAGAATGATACACATCATACCGAAGTAGGTACGAGAGGTCTTTCTCCACTGTTGGTGGCAGTTCATCCGGCCCCAATGGGTCCAGTCTGCTAAATGAAGCGCCGGTAAATCCACCATCGCCTGCTGTAGCTGGTCTTGGGGATGCGGCTGTGTTCACTGTTTCGGAGCCGAGCGGGCTTGTAATTGTTAGTATAGACCTAATTCATCAAGCAGATCCGCTGCTCACTCATCCGGCTGATCTAGAGGGCCCTTCGTCGTGCTACGCGGCCTTGAAGCTAGGACGAATCAGCCTTGTATTCTTCAGATTGCCGATGATACAACAAGCATCGAACATTAATGCTCCTTACATCTAGAGACATTGCGGGTGTGTTTGGTTGGCGAAGCATCCATAGCTGTAGCAATTAAAAAGGCAACAGTAATTGATGATTAGCCTTGCGAAAATCTCTTAAGGCTTATACTCAGTCCCCACGGTGAAAATCCTTCTGTTGGAATTCGAAGAGCTCCTTATCTAGGAACCGGGGAAAGTTGCTGGCAGCATAATAATGCGGGATCCCCGACCTCAAAGGCGGAAGAGGCCATTCTGCCGCGCGGTGAAGGGATCGGCCCGGACAGACAAACTGGCCCCATTCAAACCGTCAATCGCGTCTACTCCCGACTAGTAATCTTAAGTAGTAGCCTCACGATCACCAACCGACCATACTTCCCACTTCTATATAAAGGCTGTTCCCGGCATCGCACCACAGTTGCTTTATACTTTTTGATTTGAATCGTTACCAAAGTTTTACCGGTATCCTGCACCTTCGTCCGGCACCATGACTCTCGCCGAGGAGCTCCGCTCGAGAAACTTCAGTACGGACTTGCCTTGTTTACCTGATTTATTCTTTGACATGCGAAGCAAGGGATAACTAACAACTCATCACTTAGGTATCTACGGACAATGGTTTGTACCGCTCTTCTCTGTTCCATTTCTCGCCCGCTGCTGCCCAACTGTGCGCCTTTGCAACATTTGCGAAAACAAATCATGGTTGCCTGGATCTTCAGCGCTTGGCGCTGTCATGAAAGGACCTCCATCAGTTGCCGCCTTGGGCAACCGTGTACTCTGAATGATTGCGCATAAATTTTGGGGGACTGCGACAACAATGGAGCAATAATTATGGCGTCTACCGGACTAGTTTGCTAATCGATATCTGACGTAGGACGGGCGTGATCTGCATCGTCTTGTGCTTGGCTCTCGGTATCGCCAACATCTTCTCGTTCGACGTCGTGATCATCATCTTTAGTGTTCTGTGCCTGTGAGTACTCACCTGCATTTCTTACACTGGTCTCAGACGCTTACAATACACAGCATCTCTGGTTTGATCCTCATCTTCGCCGAAGTGCCCTTCCTCCTCAGAATATGCCCCACATCACCGAAGTTCGATGCATTTATCCGACGCTTCACCACAAACTGGATGCGCGCTGCAATGTATACAGTTATGAGTGTTGTGCAATGGCTTAGTCTTATCAAGTCCGCTACCAGTTTGATTGCGGCTGCCGTCTTCCTACTCATTGCCGGTTTATTCTATGCGCTGGCGGGTCTCAAGAGCCAGGAATTCGTCGACAGCAAGACTTTGGGCGGCCAAGGTCTTGCGCAGATGATCGTTTAAGACTATGATCAGACATGTGATCTATGAAGCTAAGGTACGCCCATTCGCCTGCCATACGGCTATTGTATTTGCCGTCTTCAGCATGCGTCCTCCGAGCTCGAAATGAGCCAAATGTAGTTGTATGCTAATCATCTCCTGCAGGTGACTAACATGGAACTGAAAAAGAGACGGCTAGCAGAACCATCTCTGGGCTGAATGCGCCACGATTATGAATCGACTGTGCTGTTCTTGACGCTGCCGAGCAGGGTCTTGTACTCGTATAGCATACTGTTTTGAGAAATTGGGACCCTTACGGCTCGAGCTACTGAAGCTTCTACTCATGCTTTGTTGATCTTTCTTCTTTGTGTTGTATTTCCAGTCCTGTTCTTGCTCTTGAGACTTGCTCCAAAACTGTTGCAATGAGTTTTAGATGAATCATGTAATATTTACCATCTCGCCCCAGCGAATACCCGATTAGCATCCTGGCGATGAATGAATGGAATTGTTTGCATAAATTCTGCTGTAGGGGCCGCGATCTATGAATACGCTCCCCACCGCGGAAACAAAAATGAACACCTCCTAAATGAAGCGATCTTCTATACTAGTAACTAGTTACATTTGGGTGCAGGGATTCGTGTTGTGCCCGAGTGATCGTGCATAGCTGACTCAGCGGTGAAGTTATCCCCAGATAAGATAAGCACAACTCATCCAAGCGAAAACCCTCAAAATTCGACTCCGCCGAAACAATCGAAATCCCACACGCCGACGCCGAACCGCTACGCCAGACGACGTGCCCCCTCTCCTCCCCACCCATCCCCCCCGACCGTTTGCCGGACAATTTCCTACTCGTCGACAGACGTACTTCTATCGCAAAATGTCCTACGAAGAGCGCGCCAACGCGCACCCCAACCTGGGCGACGAGTCCGATGTGGAGGAGGAAGCGCTTGTCAACGACTACCGCGAGCAGGTCAACTTCGATGATGGCATGAGCGAGTTGGACAGAACGACATCCCTTGGAGGTGGCTCCCAGACGCAGGACCTCCAGGCACAGCTCGCTGCTGCTGCCACCCCGCTCGAGTACCAGGCTACCCTCGAGACCAAGTTCGCAAGCTACGACAACTACTGCAGCCTTTTCCACTACATCCTGAACTCTGATGGTCCGGTTGAGCTCGAGGTTCCTTCTGTATGTACTACTCCGTCTGTCAGGAGCGGCGGGCAGCGGCTACGGCTGCAGCTATATTTGATACACGCTTCGCTGCCTTGATCTGCAATTGTGTGCGGTTGATTCGCCGCGGTTGATACACTGTGCTAACTAGCCCATTTTATTGTCAATAGTACTACTGGGCCTGGGATGTCATCGACGAGTTCATCTACCAGTTCGAATCTTTCTGCCGCTACCGCAACCGTGTCGCTCGCAGCGGCTCCAACGAGGAGGAGGCCCAGCTTCTCCGTGAGAACCCGAACACGTGGGGTTGCTACTCCGTGCTGAACGTCCTCTACTCCCTCATCCAAAGGTCGCAGATCAACGAGCAGTTGGCTGCCATCAAGCGTGGTGAGGACCCCTTGGCGTTTGCCGGAGAGTATGGCTCCCGCCCTCTGTACAAGATGCTGGGATACTTCTCCATCATTGGACTCCTGCGTGTCCACTGTCTGCTGGGTGACTTCAGCCTTGCCCTCAAGACTCTCGACGACATCGAGATGAACAAGAAGGCCATGTTCGCCCGTGTTATGGCGGCCCACTTCACCACCTACTACTATGTCGGTTTCTCCTACATGATGATGCGTCGCTATGCCGATGCCATCCGCATGTTCAGCCACATCCTGGTCTACGTTTCCCGGACCAAGAACTTCCAGAAGGGTGGCAACAGCTACGATGCCATCGCCAAGAAGAACGACCAGATGTACGCTCTCATCGCCATCTGTGTCGCTCTCCACCCCACTCGCCTGGATGACACCATCCACTCCGCCCTGCGTGAGAAGTACGGCGAGCAGCTCAACCGCCTGCAGCATGGTGGCCCCGAGGCCCTTCCTCTGTTCGAGGAGCTCTTCCGTTCGGCCTGCCCCAAGTTCATCAGCCCCACTCCTCCCGACTTCGAGAACCCGGCCCTCAACGTCGACCCTGTTGACCACCACACCGCCATCTTCATGGATGAGGTTAAGAACACCCTGTACAACCCTACCATCCGCTCCTACCTGAAGCTCTACACCACCATGGACCTGAAGAAGCTGGCTGGCTTCTTGGAGGTCGAGCCTGAGAAGCTCCGCTCTTGGCTCCTCATCAACAAGCAGCGCAGCCGTCAGGTGCGCTGGGTTGAGGGTGGTCTTCTGGAGGGCGAGCCGGTCAACGCCAACGACCTCGACTACGCTCTGGAGAACGACCTTATCCACGTTAGCGAGACCAAGGCCGGACGTCGTCTGGTGGACTGGTACCTCAGGAACCTTGCTCGTGTCTACTAAGTCCGAGTACGCTACAGCGACCCCTTCTTGTGTCAAGACGCATATCCCTCCGTCTTTTGACTTAAGATATGCGTCCGGTCTGTAACAAGACCCACGAGGGGTACTCAATCTCAGCAAGGAACCACGAGAGACACTTTGAAGTGCAAACGGAAAGAATGGGGGTGTGGTCCAGGAGATATCATCAGCTGGGAAGGGGATCGTCGGAAATCGAGTCCAAGTCGTGTTTTTCGAACGGGTCATTTACCCTCTCAGCTTTGTGGCCCGTTCACTCTCACGTCTTCCCCACCCTACCAACATCATGATTTTTTTTTTTTATCTTATCTATTTATTTATTCTGTCCTCCGCTTCCATATCTTGCTTCGATTGTCCATGCTTCTCATTACTCAGGGGGTTGGTTGCACAACCCTTGACCATCCTGGTTATACGGGTTTGGAGTCGACAAAAAGAATTCTTTATTTCCTTTTTGTTTCATATTTGAGGAAATGTTCAAGGCGTATCCCATTATGCTTGTGTTTGGTTTTGCTTCCGGTTCGACACGGTCTGGTCTGTGTGCATCGAGCTGTTTGTGTCTTAGCTAGCAGAGGACAGACAGGGATGTAGAATCTGCATGATGAAATAGATGATGACTTAAGCATATGTTTTCCACAAAATATCTATAGTAAATAAGAAGAAGCAGGGCGTGGGGGTATAGCATTACTCTATCTCATATTCTAGTATGATACACATATACAGTTGAAGTTGGGTCCAGGAATGATACCTATCTAGCTAGGTCCTCATTCAGTCCTGAACATCAAAACTAGTCCCGCATCCACAGTTACTCGTCGCGCGCGGGTTATCCACAATCTTAAACTGGCTTCCAATCAACTCCATCGTATAATCCACCGTACTGCCCGAAAGAAGCTCCAGCGATGGCTCGTCCATAACTACTTTAGCTTCGCCGGCGCCCGCTGCCTCCGCCTCACCTTCCTCAGGCTCGGCTGCGAAGATAGTATCTTCCTCCGCATCGATCTTGGATGCGGCCTCCAGGGACATCAGGTATTGGAATCCATGGCATCCACCGCTTGTGACGGTGATGCGGAGATGGTGGTAGGGGTTTTCTTCTTTAGTGATGGAGGGGGATGAAGAGGGGTCTGTCATTTCGCGAAGACGCTGTTGAAGACATGTTAGTTTGTGGTTTAACAAGGTCACCTCAGCGAGTTGAAGAGCTAAAAAGTAATATTGTTCCCTCCGGAAGAGGGAAAAAATTGCAAAAACATACAACAGAAGGGATTCGCTGGTGGTCACCCACCCAACTACTAACCTCCCGGCGTGTGGCTTAAGTACGGCTGAGCGGACGGGAAGCCCTGTTCTCCACACCCTGTGGTCGTATGTACTCGTTTCATACTTCAAAGGGCTTATATCGTGGCGGACAGTTAACTAGCTCCGGTGATCCGGCGCATTTGTTGCCAATGCGCCTGACTCCGTTTCGCTTTCCGAACTCAACTCAAGCCTTACCATCGCCACATTTTCGCAATCCTCCTTTGGAGATGTACAGTATATGCATGCGGGGATAGAAAAAAAGGAAGGTTGTTTCAACGTACCTCCGCAGCCCTCGGCGAGATATTGATCAACAAGTCCTTCCCATCTTCATCAACTCTCGGATTTTGTAGCACCTTGGTAGCTGGCCGGATGCTCGTAGTAGAAAAGGAAGAGCGTTGTCCGAAAGCGTCAAAGCGGAATACTGATCGTGATGATGACGAGCTCGCCCGGGGGCAAAGGAATCTAGGCCGGAGCGTGGATCGCTGGGAAACGGTATCGCAGAAAGATGCGGAGAAGCTCAATGTCGGCAACGTTGCCGGGGAAAGTGCAGAAACCGCGGTGCGAGGAGAATGGGAGCGAGAGATCCGGCGGGCGGCTGTTGAGAGGATCGGACGGGACATGTTTGTCGTCATAGAGGGGAGAGTAGGTGTTAGGAAAGGCGACTGAAGGAGAGCTTTTGGTGAAAGAGAATGAAGATTGGATTGATAATATGATCGGAGGCTCGGAGCAGCCATCGAAAAGAAGGCATTATTGTCGTTAGTCAGAGGGTTCGGGATGACGCCATTGGTCGATCGGGGACCGGCAAGAAGCGGCAGAATCGAGATAATCGCGGGGAACTTCTTTGGTTTTGCTTGACAGTTCCATTGACTGTAGCTTCTTCTTCTCTGATGTTGCCTATGGTTGTATAGTAGACGAGGGTTTTGGATATATTCATTTTATTTCTCTTCGCCAGTGCATAGTACTCCCGCATACCGAGGGAGATTGTGAATCATGAGTTCTCAACTTGGACATGAATCGAGCGTCAGCTCCCCGCTTTCTTACAAGACTGATAGCAATGCCTTCACCAGGGAATATGCAGAGTCTCTGGATGCACAGGACCCTTTGCGTGATTTTCGAAAGGAATTTATTATACCCTCTAAAGTTGATCTGAAAAGGAAAACTTTAGCAATTGACGATAGTTGTACGTGTCGTAGCGTCATTATTATATTGTCTTGGTGTCACTAACCAATTGTCCTCCCATTAAGCCAAGGATGAGTCTGACCCCAGGTGTATATATCTCTGTGGAAACTCATTGGGCGTTCAGCCTCGCAATGCCCGCAAGTACATTGATTATTACCTACGAACATGGGCTATCAAGGGCGTAACTGGGCATTTTCTCCCGCACGAGGACCAATTGCTTCCACCATTTGTTGACGTCGATGACGCGGGTGCGAAGCTCATGGCGCCAATTGTGGGAGCTTTGGAAAGTGAAGTGGCAGTCATGGGCACGCTGACGGCGAACCTACACTTCTTGATGGCGAGCTTCTACCGCCCGACCCAGGAGAGGTATAAGATTATCTTGGAAGGAAAGGCGTTCCCAAGTGACCATGTAGGTTCAGATTCGACGATTATTTGAAGAGCAAGCACTTAATTCATTGAGTATAGTACGCTATCGAGTCACAAATTCGCCACCACAATCTTCGCCCAGAGGATGCCATGGTTCTCATCGAGCCGGAAGATCGCTTGAAGCCGATTCTGCGAACGGAGCAAATCCTCCGGGTTATTGATGAACATGCCTCAAGCACAGCGCTTGTGCTCCTTTCTGGTATTCAGTTCTATACAGGACAGTACTTCGATATCGAGAAGATTACCGCGCATGCCCAATCCAAGGGGATCCTCGTTGGCTGGGACTGTGCGCATGCAGCAGGCAATGTTGACCTGCGCTTGCACGACTGGAATGTAGATTTTGCTGCATGGTGCAATTACAAGTACCTCAACAGTGGTCCGGGTGGGATGGCAGCTTTGTTCGTGCATGAGAGACATGGCCGAGTCGATATGGACAAGGTTGGCAGTGATGAGGAGCCATTTCGTCCGCGCCTCTCAGGTTGGTGGGGAGGCGACAAGAAGACTCGCTTCCTTATGAACAACAGTAGGTTTTTTTTTCTTCTAATACTGTTTACTTAGTCACTAACTGAGGACCGCAGACTTCCTTCCGCAGACAGGTGCTGCAGGATTCCAGCTATCCAATCCTTCCGTTCTGGATATGAATGCGGTTGTGGCGTCACTTGAGTTGTTCAATCGGACGTCAATGGCTGAAATCCGACAAAAGTCCTTGAACGCCACTGGCTACTTGGAGCATCTCCTTCTGAACTATCCTGCAGACTTCTCCACTGGGAAGCGACCTTTCTCCATCATTACACCTTCGAACCCAGCAGAACGTGGTGCACAACTCAGTTTGCTGTTGGAACCGGGTCTTCTGGATAGCGTCTTGGAGACACTAGAAGAACACGGGGTTGTAGTCGACGAAAGGAAGCCCGACGTCATCAGAGTTGCACCGGCACCTCTGTACAACACGTACACGGAGGTGTGGGAGTTTTGCCAGATCTTCTTTGAAGCCTGTCAGAAGGCCTTGAAATCACGAAAATAATTAGCGGAGAGATAAGTATATTGGCTTGCCAAGTCCGGATTGGTTTCTTCCGTATATGCCATCTTGGATTTATAACGTTAGTATTAACTATTAGCTATGACACTAGACAGATATGAATGAATCTACATAGTACCCAACATACAGAACATAGTAGTACCTGTTACTTTTAGGTTGGGAATTTGAAGCACCATATAATACTGCCCATCCTATATGATAAAGATATATAATAACGAAGACAACATTAGTCGTGCCAGCCTTACCATATCCAATTATCATGGCAGCTTTCTTCCAGATGACTATAGCTTCGTATTTCTTAGTTAACACAGCATCGAACATACACTCATCCTGAACAGTCATCTCAATCATCCAAAAGCAAAATAAGCACGCTCCAACGGTTGCCGTTCTGACTCCCAAGCCAGCCAATCCGATCTTGTGGTCCTGTCGCAATGTATTAGCAATGAACAATATCCAACCAAGCGCATTTCCACGCGGAAGACGAGAACAAGTAACGGAGATTACGTACGGCAAAAGTCCCATCGCATTAACCTTCCAAATTCCCAAACACAACAGCACCAGTTGCATAACGACATAGATCGCCTTCACGCCGAGAAGCTTCCCACGCGTGCCCTCGGTATCGAACTTGGCGAACACCGTGTTGGTATTGATCAGGCCCTGGATGGGGCCCTTGAACAGCATAAACACCATCATGATACTGAAGATCTGTAGACTGTTTCCGGACATGTACATCATGATCGCGTTCATGGGGATCTGCTTCGAGGGGGCGAGCGCAATTTCCCATGCCTTCTTGAGCTTCAGGGTATCGGTTTCAATGGGTTTGGACGGAGCGGAGGTGGTTGAGGACTGTTGGGCGCGGTTCTGGAGTGGATGCAAATGTCGCGTTAGTATGAGCTGGAGTGCAGGAGAGGGGATGGGCATAGTAATTGATGAAGAAGACATACATTCTTGCCAGCCATTTTCCTGGAGAAGCCTGGAGGATCAGGGATGCTGGCAGCCTCTTTGGATGGGCGTGGCATGGGGGTGTTCATTCTCACCACCCATTGCGGCGGCGGTGGAGGGGGCAGAGAAGCCATGATGAACTGTGAGAGTCGAAAGTACTCTCAGTAATTAATTTCCTCGTGCCTGGGAGATATGACGCGATAGAGAGGTAGAGAAAAGGATGATGCCACAAGCCAGCCCGAGCTTGGAGATGAGGAGGGAGCGATTAGAGTGACGATGATCCGGCCGGAATCGATGGATGGATTTCTCCACCAGCGCGGAGTTGGCGGCGCCCGATCCACTCCTGATTCTCACGCTGCCTCTCCAAAGTTGGTCCAGTCGACGTCGGTTTGGAATTAACGATCATCAGGGACAGAGAGGACCCGGGGTTATTTTGATTGAGACTAGGTAAGTACAATGTCGCGCCCTCGAAAAGACTTGTTTCCCCCTGTGCCAGTCACGCTAACGAATCTAGTCTGCCCCCCTCCGATGCATTGAAGCTTCGGAGCAGCAGACCAACCAGCCAACTAGTCCACCGATCGTGTTCCCCTTGAAGCTCTTCGACGTCCGTGAACGGCTTCCCTTGACGACATTAAGACGAGATCACTTGCAATTCTACCTGATAGCAGACTTGGATCAGAGGATTGGAGGATCGTGAGCCTGCACCATGAGTTCCAGCGGGGGAGATGCGAAGTTGTTCGCCAGGGTGAGTACTTAATGTGCATTGGCACTGCTCTCCTTCCTGCCGCTCAATCGGACCATCCATACATGGCGTGCAAGAGCCCTTTGGCGTGTGCTTATCTTCCCGCCGCTTCCCCTCATGCTGCTCGCCTTGTTCACATGAGCCAGCGCTGGCTTTGTCTTTCCCTTCTGCGGGGGAACTTGTTCGCTATGCTCCTTATGCTGCTTCCCCCGAATCCCCTCCTCCTGGCTGGCCCCCAAATACCCCAAATATCCCCCTAGTTCGGACTACGTCCTTGCATTATTATGTTCCTCAGCGTGGTTCCTTATACGGCGCAATATGGCTCACCATTTTCTCGTTCCAAACAGGGCAAAGTCGCCGAGTTGCGACAGGAGTTGAACAGTGGGGGGAAGAAAGACAAGAACCACTCGGCCAAGAAGATCGCGCTCAAGAAAATCGTCGCTAATATGACCATGAGCAATAATGATATGGTTGCTTTGTTTCCCGACGTGATTGGTTGCATGAACTTGCCCAGCTTGGAAATCAAAAAGATGTACGTCTGCCAGAAGATACTGTATCGCATCTTGTTGTATGGGGACTAAGAGTTTGTCTCACTACAGGTGCTTTCTGTTCCTGGTCAATTACTCGAGAGCGAAACCCGAGGTTGCGCTCAAAGCCTTGCCGTTCCTCATCGATGTGGGTGTCATCCTTTACGCTTGGGGGATGTGATTGCTAACCCGAACCATCTAGGATATGGAGGACTCAAATCCCCTGGTGCGTGCCCTGGCACTACGGACCATCTCCTACATCCATGTCCGCGAGTTTGTCGAAGCGACGGTGCAACCGGTTAAGCGACTGATGAGCGATATGGATCCGTACGTGCGGAAGACCGCCGCTTTCTGCGTCGCGAAGCTCTACGAGCACGATAAGAAGATGGTCGAGGCGTCAGATCTGATTGATCGGTTGAACAGCATGCTCAAGGATGAAAACCCTACGGTGGTTTCTAGCGTCCTTGCGTCCTTGGTGGACATTTGGGGTCGCAGTGAATCGATCTCTCTGACTATCGACTACACCAGTGCCTCGAAGCTCGTTTCGATCTTACCAGACTGCTCTGAGTATGTGGCCGTGCTCTTGCGTTTGCTGCAGGTTACTGACGTTGCGTAGATGGGGCCAGTCTTACATCCTCGAGGCTTTGATGTCCTACGTCCCTCAAGACTCCGCAGAATCACTATTGCTGGCAGAGCGAATAGCCCCTCGCCTGTCACACTCCAACTCTGCCGTTGTCCTGACCTCTATCCGCGTTATCCTCTACCTCATGAACTACATTGCCGACGAAAGACATGTCACCTCCCTTGCGAAGAAGCTATCACCACCCCTTGTCACTCTTCTCTCCAAACCACCAGAAGTACAGTATCTGGCCCTCCGAAACGCCATCCTTATCCTGCAGAAGAGGCCTGAAGTGCTCCGCAACGATATCCGCTGCTTCTTCTGTAACTACAACGATCCGATCTACGTTAAAGTCACCAAGCTGGAGTTGATCTTCATGCTGACCACCAAGGAGAACATTTCCGTGGTTCTTGCAGAACTCAGAGAGTACGTTGGCCCCTCTCTTCCCCTGGCCCTAGTCGCTAACAGTTCCATAGGTATGCGACCGAGATCGATGTCCACTTCGTGCGCAAGGCAGTGCGTGCCATTGGAAAGCTCGCCATCAAGATCGAGTCCGCCGCAAAACAATGCATCGACACCCTGCTGGAACTGGTCAACGCGAAGATTCCCTACATCGTCCAGGAGGCGACGGTTGTTATCCGTAACATCTTCCGCAAGTACCCCAACCAATACGAGAACATTATCGGCAACGTGATTCAGAACATCGACGAGCTCGACGAACCCGAAGCCAAGGCCGCCATCATCTGGATTATTGGCCAGTACGCCGACCGCATAGAGAACTCCGACGGCCTCCTGCAGGACTACCTGGCCACCTTCCACGATGAGACCGTTGAAGTCCAACTTGCCCTTCTCACAGCCACTGTCAAGTTCTTCATCCAACGTCCTACCAAGGGCCAACAGCTTGTCCCCCAGGTGCTCAAATGGTGCACCGAAGAAACCGACGACCCTGACCTCCGCGACAGAGGCTACATGTACTGGCGTCTGCTATCCACCGACCCCAAGACCGCGAAGCAGATCGTCATGGGCGAGAAACCCCCCATCAGCGCCGAAAGCGAGAAACTCGACTCCCGCACCCTCGAGGAGCTCTGCCTCAACGTCGGCACTCTCGCTACCGTGTACCTGAAACCCGTTCAACAAGTTTTCCGCTCCGCACGCACGAGACGCTTACAGTACAGCCCTGCGCTGCAGAAACCCAAGGAAGAACCCGGCAATGCTGTCTGGCAATTCCCTGCTCCGTCGCAATCCAGCAGCCCAACCGCCGCCATGGCAGCCAGCGCATCTGCCCCCGCCGACATGAACGCGGCCGTCAACGCTGCCGACAGCTACTTCAATAGTGTCGGTACTCAGCAAATGGCTGCGCTGGACCTGGGCGGTCGTGAAGACGGCGGTGTTGGCGGTGGCGGTGCTCCCCAGACGCAATATGTCGTCACTCAGAACCAGCAGCAGGTGTATCAGCCGCAGCTGGCGGGTGGAGCAGCCACGGGTGAGTTGTTGTTGCTGTGATTGTATCAGTGTAACATTCTGTGCTTCTATTATTTTTCTTCCTGCTAGATAGGTTCTTAATTTTTGGAGCGGTTTATCAGTTCGCAGGCAGGGACTTGTGATGTACTCTTTTTCTGTCCTTGATTGTTCTTCTGTTTCTATTGGATATGTAGGTAATTATGCATTGTTAGGGCATGAATAATAAGATAAAGCCTTGGTATATGATACATCGATAGCATGTCGAGCATAAGCATGATGATAACTGTATGACTGCATCAATATCGTGCTTCCAGAGCACAGCATCCCATTATCACCATACGAACCCAACAATAATCATGAAGATGAACTAGCATAGTAATTAATCCTCATCCATACGAGCCAATCCACCCCGACTGCGCTTAATTCGCTCATCGAGACTATCCTCCTGAAGCTGTTTATGCAGCCCAGACACAAAGCGACCCTTCTCCGAGCGATGCTTCTCATCTTCTTCATGCTGCTTCTCTTCCATCGCAGTGACCTCCGCAATGCGCTGTCGACGAGCATCTTCCATCTCGCTCGCGTTCGCTTGCATCTCTGCTAGCTTGCGCTGTCGTTCTTCCTCTTGCTGCTTGCGCTTCTGCTCCGCTTCTTCGGGGCTGGGCTTGTCGCGGGTGTATGTGTCTCTGTCTCGCGGACGATAGTCTCTCTTATCTTGGTGGTAGCGACTGGATCGGTCTCGGTCTCTGCGATCACGCTCACGGTCTCTGTCTCGAGAATCTCTGTGCCCATCGCTTTCTCTCCGATCATCGGCTCGCCGTCTGTCAGAGTGATGGCGATCCGCAGGGGATCGATCCTGTCGCGACTCTCGCCGGTCATACCGGTCTTCACGATCTCGATGATCCCGATGTCTGCTAGAGCGATGGTAGTCCCGATCACTGTCCCTCTCTCTTCTATGATCCCTCTCGCTCCTCCTATCATCCCGATCAAGTGTATCTCTCCGCCTCCTCTCCGGCGACCTCGACCGATGCCTCCTCTCTCTCTCCCTCCTCCTCTCCCTATGACCATCCCTATCCCTATCCCTCTTCTCTCCCTTTGAAGAAGATCCCTTCCTAACCTCCTCCCTAACCATCCCCTCCAACGCCGCCTGCTCCCTCTTCCTGATCTCCAACAGCGGATCCGCCAACACCTTGGCCATAGTATCTCTGGGATTCGCCTGCGCCACCGCACCACCACCTCCAAGCGTCGCATTAAACTCCGCCCCCTTCTTCAACCCCTCCGTCTCGCCGCCATCTTTCTTCAACAGAACGCCATCGATCCGTCTTTTCCCCAAAAGATACCCCTCCATTTCCTCCGCGTACATTCCTCCACCTGCTCCTCCGGCCCCAGGCTCCTGATACATCCAGTCCACGCGCTGGATCTGCTTCGGTTTCCCGGACCCTTCTTGTAGCCGTTGGAGTTCTTGGATTTGCCGCTCTTCGTCGCGCTCGCGCCGGAGCTGGTCGATGCGTTTGCGCTCTTCCAGCGCGCGTTTTTCTTCTGCCCATACGCGCTCTTGGTTTCGGAGGAGGGAGGGGTGCCATGATCTGTTTTGGGGGTGGTATCGCGTTAGCGGGATGGGGGACAGAGAGGAGAGGAGGGTTGGGGGGAGAGGATAGGCTTACTTCTTCAAGTTGAGGTCGCCGCCCATTTTGTTAGGGGGGGCTGGGTGGCCAGCTGGTTGTTCTGTGTATGTGGACTGGGGGGTGGATGGGTGGATGAGGAAGAAAGAGGTAGGTGTGAGAGGTTATGGATGGAGGTGAATTCCCGATGAGGAAGTATTGTATTGCCACTCACTCACTGCCGCTGCCTGATTTGCCGCCTTGTGCCTGAGGCATTAATATACATACTACTACCTACGTTCGAACGGTGATTGTTTCTATGGTCTACAGCAAATGGACTTTACATAAAAGATGTATTCGCACTATGCAGTAAACGAATGACAAATTAAGCACATATGGATAACATCAATAGGTACATACAACAAGAATGTTAGTTAACATATCACAGAGGCAATCGAGGTTTGTCCGCCTGCGGTCCATGTCCAGCGGCATTAGATATACCAGAATCAAATCATTTACTCGTCTCTGCTCATCTCAACCCTTCACAGCACTTCACTTCTCTTCATACTGTACTTATTTTTCCCAGCCCACATAGCTCCGCGGCATCACTCGCCACACCTTGCATTCACCACTGCGGAGGTCGTTGAGCTTGAAGCTCTCCATCTTGACCTTCTTGCTTTCACGGCCCTGCTCCCAAGCACGGATCTTCTTCTTGGTTCCGTCCCAGTCAACCACAATGGCCACGTGGTCGGGCTTGCCCACTTCCGCACTGTACTTCTGGTGCATCGTGCCGCGATGTCCCTGGAAGCGTGCGTTGCGGAAGCTGACAATATCACCGGCGCGAATCTCATCGTTCTGCTGCACAGAAGCATTGGCTAGATTCGAGTAGACCAAAGCGCCATACGCGCGTGTGCCAACCGGCTTAAGGGCATCCGACAAGGGACTAAGCACGTGCTGGACGAGGCCAAACGGAGTGCCGTCCGTAACGGTAGTGTTCTGAACGGAATTGGCCGTGGCGGCAATGTGAGTGCCGATTTGCAGATGTGCGTTCTCAAGTTGATCCTGGCGAGGCTGGATAGGAGGAGCCTCGTGGCGCTGCTCAAAGGCAACGTCCGTGGGATTCCGAGCGTCGAAGTTGACCGTAATCACCGTTTGCGAATGGTCCATGAAAAGAACGTAGATGTCTTTGGTTACCATGGTCTTGCCACCTCTCTTGGAAGAACTGGACTCCTCAAACTCAAGCAATATGTCCTTGCGGTTCTGAAACACGGGAGGGGGAGTATTGTGCTGCGTCCACCAGAGCGTATTCTCTGCCAGGTCTACGTCCATGGCGATGAAGCCTTGGTCCACGGACGGACGGCTGACATCCATAGAACGCCTCATGCTAGGCTGCGCTCTGGGGACATCGAGCGATGCACGGTTGCTACGTGGTGTGGGTGGGGGTAATGTGGGGGGCGGGGGCGCCATCGAGGTTCTCTTCTCAGACTGCGAGAAAGTTGACTCGGGGTGTGATTGCACTGGAGAAGCTTCATAGAGCTCCTCCGGTTCTTCCTCTGCAGGCTGGGAAGGGATCACAGGCGGTAGCTGTGGCGGCCCAGCGGGAACAGGTGGGGGCCCCCTTGGGGTAGGCAGTCCATGTTGCGGAGCATTGTAACGGTACGGATCGTACTCATCGTCATCGCCTCCGAAAGACAACTCTCGGTGGGGGGGCGGAGGAGGGGGTCCGCGAGGGGAATCTATAGAGGCCCTGCCCGCACTCTTAGGAGGCTGGATTGGGGGTGGAGGAGGGACTGCCCTAGGGGCAGTCGGGGGAGGGGGAGGCGGAAGACGAGTCTGTGGCGGGCTTCGAGGAGATTGAAGTGAATGGTCGTCGGTCGTCGTCCCTTCGTCGAAGCTTGAATCACGCCCATGAGCTTTCAGTGCGTCCTTGAACTTGGCACCGGATGCAATATCAGTGTCGTAGTCGCCGTCATACTCGGTGACCTCGCCCTCTACCTCTTCGCCCGCTTGGCGAGACTGTGAAGTCACACTGGTTCGACTATCGGCAGTTGACCTCCGGCGAATATTGGCGGGCGGTGGTGGTGGAGCTGGTCGACTTTGAGCCGGGACGGGTGGAATGGGAGGCGGAGGACGACTGAGTCTCTTATCTGCCGGAAGAGTGGGTGATTTCGGAGATGTGACATCGTACGTTGACGAGCGGCGAGAGTCTAGATGATCGGGGAGCGGAGGAGCAGGAACAGGCTGGCTTGGAGACTGATCGGCTGCCGCAGCATTCAGGGAGAGATTTCTAGTGTGCAAGGAGAGCTCATCGTCCGATTCGTCGCCTGTGTCAGCAGGAGCAACGCCCTTAGGGGTGGCTTGATCTGTTCCAAGTTAGCATGTGCGGCAAAGGACATTGATACCATGAGAAACTCACGTCCGGGAACAGGGGGAGGAGACAGAGGCGCATCGTGAGGGACAGGAGGTGGAACTGGCCGTGTTTCGAGTGGCGGAGGGGGCGGAGCCGAGCGCTCTGTAAAGAGAGAATAGTTAGTAAGGTATACTAGGATCATAAATAATTTTCGTTCATACCCAAGGGCGCAGGTGGCCTGTCGGTGGATGTACGCCGAGGCGGTTCTTCCTCAACAACATCTTCGACATCGGCGACCTCGTGCGGAGGATGCTTCTCTGTCACAGGACTCGTCTGAGCCTCTTCCTCCTCCTTCTCCACGCTTAGGGTGACGGCAGGCTTGGCCACGTTCATCCCCGGCAGAGCCATGATCGGCACTGGAGGGGCAGTAGCTGGGCCGGATCGTTCATGCTCCCCGCTGGGTCTCTCGGCTTCCACAGGTGCCTTCGGCTTGCGAGGAGCTGCGGCTGGACGAGGCATGCCACCAGGAGGCCCGAAGAAGCCCATCATACCCATTCCACCGCTCATCTTGGCCATTCTTTCGCGAAGCTCCATCTTGCGCTTGACTTCGGGGTCTATCTCTTCCTCTTCCTCTTCCTCTCCTTCCTCGTCCTCTTCTGCACCTTCATCAACCTGAGCTTCGCGTTCTTCGGCTTTCTCCAACTGCCGAGATTCAGCTTGAGCTTCGTGCTGAACCTCCGCACGGGCACGCTCGTCATAGTCCTCCTTGCTCGTAGACGTCTCCTCCGCATCTTCTGTATCAGCGGCGGCTGAATCATCGGCATCGTTGGTATCGCTGACGAGCTCCCGCACCGGCGGGGGAGGCATAGCTGCTTGTGGGGCAGGCGGGTGACTACCTTTCACCGTCTCAACACTGTGGTCTCTCTCAGGCTCGCCAGACGGAGCGTTCTCGGTGATCGGCTCTTCCACAGGCAGGGCTTCTTCGTGAGACTCGGTGCGCTTCTTGGGAGGAGGGCGCTTGGGCTTGTCCTTCTTCTGGGCAGCTTCAGCGTGACGAGCAGCTTGCTCCATCTGCTGTTTCTGCAAGAGAGCAATCCGCTCCTTCAAGCTAGTCGGCTTGGGCTGCTCCTCCGCACCTTCCTCCGCGCCTCCACTCGACAGCGGCCGAGTCTCGGAAACGGGCGGCTCCCTCGCCAGACGTTCTTGGACCTCAGGATCCTCCTCCCTTCTGTAGATCTTGCGGGGAGCTTCACGGGGCGGGGGTACGTATGCATCTCTACTGGGAGGTGCCGCAACGAACGGCTTCTTGACGAAGGAAGTGTTTTGGGCGCTCAGACCACCCGGCTTGAAGGGTGCAATTGGGGGTGCTGCGGGTTTGTTGAAAGCAGCAATGCGATCCCTGAACGATGACCCAGTCGGCTTCTCCGCAACGGCGGGAGGTGGGGGCTTGGACGAGGGTTTGGGAGCCGGTTCGCTGATGTCATTTGCAGGGGGCTGAGGGACAGAGGCAGGTGCCGGGACAGATGCCGGGACAGGTGCTGGCTTCGGGGAAGAGGGAAGCTCACGGGTTGGTGATGCCAACGCAGGAGGCGGCGATTGAGGAGGTTGGGGCACAGCTGCAGGTGTATCCTCCACTTCGGGTTCTAATGAGCGCGGGGGCTGTGTCGTAGGGGGCTCGACAGCAACAGCGGGCTCCGGAGGAGGCGGCGCAACGTCTGGTTCTCTCTTCGGTCGACTCGGGCGTGTCGGCCGCGGAGGAGCCGGAGGTTCATATCTTTCCACGAAGTTCTTGGGGAATATACCCTCTCGCTTGTGCCCCGACTCGTCGGTATACTCACCAAAGTACCATTCCTCGTCTTCCACCGCCGTCACGGTTACAACCTGACCGATGGCAAAATTAAGGTCGTCATCGTGGTCCGAAGCGTATTCGAAGACCGCTTTGACTGTGAACGGCGGACTGGACATCTGGCAAGTCGAGACGCTGTCAAAGCGGACGTGGTGGGGGGTGATAGAATGGGGAGCGGAGCGAGTGGGAGGCTGGCGGAATGCAAATGACACGGCAAAACAATAATAATTGCAGGTAGTGGAGCACTAGACTGGAAAGCGTCTAATGCAGACAGACATGTGCAGATATGCTTAACAGCGGGGTGGGAAGGTAAGCCGGTATGCTTTGGAGGAAGCAAAAATAACAATAATAATATGTCAGCCTGCTGGACTGACTGACGTAGTCTGAGCTTTTAGTACCTCCGGAGATCGGAAACACCGCAAGGGGGGGAGGGGAGGTGGAGGAGGGGAGGTGAATAAGAAGAAAGAAGAACAGGAAGACTTACTGCAAGTTAAAGACAACAATGTCCACAGAGACGGAGAATATAGGAAATTAATGCACAAGAGTAGGGAAGACAAAAGGAAGGAGTGGGATGGGGGGGTTGGTGATGTGGGCGGTGTTGGAAAGGGAGGGAGGGAACTGGAGAGTGAGGAGGAAGAGGGAAGAGGGAAAGAGGAGGGACGGAGAAGCAAAGAGGCACTGAGCACTACGACTACGACCACTACGTACTAACAAGTACTACGACACAACGACCAGAGTAACTTAACACTTCACAACTTCTTCTTGCCTGGCGGGACACTTGCTCCACTCCCGCGGCGATCGGCAGCTAATAAGATTGAACAGCCCGTCAGACACCAAAAAGCCAACAAAACATACGATGGAACAGCTGCCTGAGGGCCGTGGAATTAACCCGGGTGGTACATCATGGCTATCTACACAGAAATGTAGCTAGATAGTCACTGTACTATAATCTACTGGTGGCGTGCCTAATGCAGCTTCTATTTCCCCTCCCCTTAATCAATCCTGCATGCACCATCACGTATAGTTGTTGGACCTGCCTTTCCCTACATAAAGACCCTTCCTTGTTACTATCCGTAGCTGCCGTCTTGAATCCGGGGTTTTTGCCTCCTGCCGACCCGAACAACCTTGGAACTCTGTCTCATCCATCCAACCTTCCATCCATTTCACCACTACTTTTCCTCCACCAACAAGTGACGCAGATTTGATATTTATCCCGCCTTTTGACCTGTTCCCTCGGGAATATTTGCTGGAATGTCCTCTGGACGGCCTAATCCAATTTTGAAGACCTCTCTTCCTTCGATCCACGCAGCGACCGCTGCGTCTGGCCCCTCCAATTCCGCCCCAAACCATCGGGCGTCACCCTCTAACCCCCTTCAAATGTCTCAACAACAACAACCACTACCTAGCTCAATTGCAAACCGGACAGATGTCGATCCGCGCCATTTAGCTATTGCCTTACATCATGCGAATCAAATTCAGGCCCAGAAGGACACAGAGGTCCTGATCCTCGACCGCATTCTGAGACTGGTTGAACTTCCGTCCTCCCGTTCAGCAGATCCTGCGTCACCCTCCCCCGACGATGTTCGGGTGTTCAAATCCGCCTTAGTCCCCTTTCAACCCGCCGACTACGACAACTTGATTGAGGAGAGGAATATCGAGGGTCTCTGTGGCTACGGGCTATGTCCTCGAGAGCGTCGCAAGGAAGATGGCAGAGGCTCTTTTCGCATAACATGGGGTGCGAAGGGAAGTGGGCGGGGTGGCCGCGGGCGCGAAATGGACATCGTTCCGAAAGAGAAGCTCGAGATGTGGTGTTCGAATGAGTGCGCCGAAAGAGCCATGTACATACGAGTACAGCTGGCTGAAGAACCAGTGTGGGAGCGAAGGGCCGACGATGCGCGTGGCAAACATCTTGTCCTGCTGGAAGAGGCCAGGGCGAAAGAAGGCAAGGGCAAAATGAGAGACCCCGTCTCTATCCGCGACGTTGCTGGCCAGCTGGACAGCATGCACCTGGAGAAACTACAAGGTCCTGGCGACATGGCAGATGATATTGCACGGCTCTCTGTTCGCGACGAGACTCGTTCACGAGAACTGGCCATGGAACGAGGAGATGTGCATCCTGCCCTCTATACTGGCAGAGTGAATATTCAAGTCCAAGAGAACGATAACCCCCGCGGACCAGCTAGAGCACCGCAGATGCGTCCTGGAGACGAGAAGGGAGGTTCCATCGAAGGATATGTCCCTCATGAGAACTAAGATGCTTTCGCGCATGGCATTATGAGGCGTTTTGAACAAAGGTTGATACCCCGATAAGATAGCATGTCAGATAAGAACCAAATCAATGGCTTACCACTGTCAAGTCTACGATCGACTCTCCGTAGTCCGGCATGTCACCAACAGACAGCCGTCCCCGTAGAATCTCCTACGAGAATCCGGTCGTAAGACCAGACGAGGAGGGAATAAAATTGGCAATCAAGCATCATCCCCATCAGGGGAATCAGCGACACCTTGTTTGACAGAATTCGTGTTCATTTCTCATCCGAGCTGTCTCTAAGCTAAATCGATAGCGGGTGAGCCAACCAGAACAAGCATGGGGAACGCCATGGATCGACCGAAGACAATCAGAACTTTTTCATTTTCCGTTCAACGGCGCAATGATCTACCGGTAGCGGCGGGGGCGCTCCTGAGCCTGCTGCTGGGAGACGGGGATGACGTTGACCTTGAGGTTGTCGAACTAAAGCACGATTGAGTTAGACATGATATAAATCATGAATGTAGATTCCATAAGGGAGAACTTACGCCCATGCTCTTGAGCAGGTCCTTGGTCTCAGAGTCGACGTCGAGCTGGCCGGACTCGGTCTGGGAAACATCCAGAGCGGAGACCTCAGGAACGTACTGATCCTTGCGCTCACGCTCCTCCTCCTGGAGCTTGAAGGAGATACCGCGGACAGGGCCACGCTGGATACGCTTCATAAGGTGGGTGGTGTAACCAGCGATCTAAATCCAATTGCATATTAGCACATTGCCATTTGACCATTATATCCGGATTTCCGGGAGAAAAAAGAGGGTAATCACTAACCTTGTTGCGGAGACGCTTGGAGGCAATGATAGCGATCTCATCGCAGATACGCTTGTTGGTCTCGAAGTCGAGCGTCAACTTGGGGTAGTAACGCTCGATAACGACCTTAGCGGAACGCTTGACTGTCTATTGTGGCGCGCATTTTCGTTAGAATTGATATTCTTTCTTTCCTCCATTATTGCGGTCGTGTATGCTCACCTTGGTACGGACGCGACCCATTTTGGCGGTTTGTTGCTGGCTGGATGGATGTTCGAAAAACCGTCCAAGATGTTCTGATGTCTTTTGCTCCTTCAACTTACCCGTCCCTCGCTTAGGATGTGCGGGTCATGTGATGCGTATCTACCCTGATGTGGATGCCCTATCTGCTGTCACGTGCGCTCACCTGTCAACGCGGTCGGACGTTGTGCTGGATTATTAAGCGACATTTATGTATTTCATATGTAACGGACTAGTTAGTTATGAAGATGGCTGTTGCTTTACGGTATGGCAAAACCAGGTTTATAGTGATCAGTATTACTGAGACGTCTTTGAAATTGCAATTTAATTTATACTTAGAATGAGATGTAGCCGGCTTATATCACAAACAAATAAGAACAAGTGCGAAAATAACTATACATTTACCATCCAGAAACCTAATCATACAGCAAAGCTCTCTAAGTGGAAGATAGAACATGTCTGACACATGAGACAAAAATTGCTTGGGACTGAAACACCAATATTCTAGGAGCCAAGGCTCTTCATGAGGTTACGCGCAACCTCCTCAGTCTCCGCTGCGGCGTTCCGCTGTCTATCCAGTCTCGGGACCACGCGCTGGTCGCCGCGAGCCACGTCAGAGATGCTGTACGATCCGGGCTTCTTCTGGCTATCGATTCCGTAAGGGGCTTTAGCAGTAGCGCTAGCGCGGTACGAAGCCAGGCCAATCTTGCCTTCCGAGTCGACAAAGGCCCGGATAGGGGTGGCCCAGTACTTAGCACCACCGGGGATAGAGGCGTCAAAGTAGGCAAGGCCGGCCGGAGAGTCCTGCTCGGTAAAGGTGACAGTATTCAAGTCTTCCACGGCAATACCAGCCACACCTGCAATGGCCTTCGTGTTCTTGCCCTTCCGTCCTCTGGGGCGCAAGATACGTGCCTCCACTGGGCGTTGGTGGGCCTGAGGTCCATACTTGGGGTGATTGTAGATCAAAGCGTGTGATCTTGTGTAAGAAAGACCAGCCGAGGGATGCGTCCTTGGTGGTCCGGATGCGACATACTCCGCGGAAGAAAGCTTGCTGCCGGGGGACTGGTAGTATGGGTTGTTGAGTCGGCTGCTCGGTACAGCCGGAGGAGACGGCAGATCCAGAAGCTCGAAGACGACAGGGCCTAGTGAGAACGGATCTGTGCGGAGTTTCTTCAGGTAGCCCTGGAATTCTTCGTCGGTGATCTGGACAGGTCGGAGAGTTGCCAGATCCTGGCCATTATCTTGAGCTTGCTTCCTTTGCTCGGCTTCGCGCTTGGCGACGAAGTATTCACGAAGCTTCTGTAGGATCTCTGGCTTGTTCTTCCGGACCTTCTTCAAATATGCCTGGAACTCGGCCTCCGTCTGCCCGGCAAGCCAGGGCCCAGAATGCCTGAATTGTCTCGCGCCGGGCTCCTTCAGGCCTTCGCTAGTATGTGTGTTGTCGACATGCGATTCGAAGGGACTCTGGTGTCTGGGAATGATGCTGGTTCCGTACGTGACTCTTGCGGGGAGCGAAACCGGCATGTTAAGCTCCTGGAATTTCTCTAGGGTCACCGTATGATCGGCCGCGGACTCGAAGTCCGTGATGTGTTCGAAGGTATCGAGTGCATTGATTCTGACCACGGGCCTGGAAGATTTTTCGGACGTCGATTTGGCGGGAAGAGGCCTCTTCAAACCCCAGTCACCCCTGGAAAGAGAAGACGACGGTGTGACAATGGACGCTCGGATAGGATGAGGAAGGGTTGCGGTCTCGGATTCGTTGACACTTTTCGAGGTTGGCGGAGTCTGGGGTGGCGTCAGAGCCTGCGGAAGGGCGAAAAGGCGAGACTTCCGCAGCAAGTTTGCTGTCGGAGATAGCCTGGCTGTTGCCATGGCGGACATTGGGCAATGTGGTGTTTTGCGGTCTTGTTCTATCTCCGGAGAAAGCTGGAGAAAACTTGGTTGCAATGCTCAAGGCGCGCCAAGCCACGTGATACGGGAAACTACAACCACATCTTGTGCAGCCTCTTTTTTATGTCAACGAATAGTAGCACTGCATTTTCAATTATCGTCTCCGTTCTATCTAATTCTCTCTTATTTGTCCTGTGTGTTCTAGAATCATACATATAACCTCCGTATATCACATCAGACGCCAATAGACGAAAGTGACTTGGCTGTGTCAGCAATGGACTGTTTCAACGTCCGGTATTGGATGCCCAAAACTTCCACGGATCTCTTGTTGTCGTAGCTGTAGATGTCCGCTGGCAAATCACTCGAAGAGCCCTTCGGGGGGAATTTATCTTCAAGTTCAGGGAGCGTTTCTCGTACTATGTCTGCAATCTCTTTGTTTGAGTAATAGCCGGCAGTGACAAAGAAACGCTGACCACCGGCCTCTGGGACCTCTATAGCCCTGACATGCGCAAGTGCAACATCGCGTACATCTACCCAGAGGAACGTGCCGGATGGAGGAATAGCGTCCTTCCACTTTCCTTGAATCAGGTTACTAACTTTCTGGTTCGAAGTGTTGATGGCGTCTAGTGAGTTGAGGTAGTGCACAACAGGCCCAAACACAAAAGGCGGGTTGATAGTCGCAATGTCGAAGTTTGGCTTCTCCTTTTCTACAAAGTCCCAGGCTGCCTTTTCTGCGAATGTCTGCACAAATGGGTCAGATATCAGTTCAAGTAAGTCCGAAGCATAGGGCTCTTCACATACCTTGCTCGCACGGTAGGTATTAGAGGCATTCAGGGCTTCCTCCCAAGTTACCGGGTTCCAATTCTTCTCACTGTACGATTCGGGGTGCTTCTTGGCATTGACAATCGCTGCGAATGAGGAAGTGATAACGACCCTCTTCACCGTTGGAGCATTGGCCTTGATTGCCTTCAGTATACCGGTTGTTCCCTTGATGGCGGGGTCCAAAAAGTCTTTCACTGGATCTTGAACATTGTGGTGAAAGGGCGATGCAGTATGCAGGACATAGTCAAATGGTGGGTCAGATTTGACGGCCTACAGGAACAATGATTTAGTTTCGAACGTGGCAAGCAACATCAACGGAAGTATCAGGGAAATAGGTGGACACAATAGGAAGCCGTACTTCATCAAAGGCACCCTCTGCCGCGACATCCTTGACAATAACGTAGGAGAGCTTTTCTTTCGGCGTGTTTGGATGAGCCTCTAGGATCCTTTGGCCCTTCTCCTCGGACCTCACGGTGACAACGGTGTCGAAGCTGTGGTGGCCAGGTCAGTGTTGTTATAGAAGCAAGCTGAGCCATTGACGCCTACCCATGCGCGAGCAGAATGTCAACAATGTGAGCAGCAATGAAGCCACTGCCTCCTACAGAACCTGGTTAGCTCCATTGAAAACCATCTCTGAGGGTTTGTAGATCATGACACTTACCACTCAAGAGAACCTTGGGCATGGTTGCTATATTCAAACGGGGGAGTCAATTGAAGGCTGAGTTCGTATACAGGGGCACTTAGATGGGTCTGGTTCAGTATTCTACTCAGGAGAAGTATGGCAGCACGCCATTGCCTTTATACTTACTCCGGACTGCTACCCCTCCTCAACTTGAACCGTCATATCCCCCACCGAGGTCCACTGTCGCCATTATCGTGGGGTTGTGATAGGCTCCCGCCTCGATTACAAATCCCAGGAGAACGGAATTATGGCACTAATGTTGCATGGTTAACTCCGACATTGTGTAAGCCAGTGAGGTGATTATTCTAGCTGGCCTCATCATCTCATGGCTACTACCGATCCAGTCACGGCAGGCGCTGGCTATCAAGACTGCCGAGGACCCCCGGGAAGGTGGATGATGCTCGTGTCCCTTATCCACTATCTCCCCGGCCCGAAAGGGAGCTAGTTACCCTGCGGTCTCGAATGTTGCCATAGAAGACAGCAACTTACGCCATTCGACATTAGCCAATATGTTCTGGTTATAGGCTAATAAATACCGCGAATATCAAGTGATCGGTCTGCATATCGTGCTAAAATAAGGGGCTTTTCCATGTCTACTATGCCCTTCCCACTAGATGACCTTGGAAGCTAAATCTATTGATTAGCAAGGATGGTAAAGGCCCCAACACTTATTCAATTAAGTACGGGGCGCAGGCCAAGCTTCGAAATCAGAACCATCAATACTAGTATCTATACTATATATATTCTTCAAGTGGTAAGTGCCTGTACTGTACTTGTTGTAGAACGCAGATACATGACCCCTCGAATTCCAGTCTTCAGGCTATAAAGTATTCGGGGACAGGGAGCAAGATATCATATACCAGGGCCAGAAATTTTTGATCAATGAGAAGAGACTTACAAAAGTTTTCGTCAAACACCACGTACATGATGGTACTTTTGTCGCTATTTGGGCGCAGGCAGCTACTTAATTACCTGCTTACGCTTGTACGGAGTAGTTTAATTGTGCCGACGCCCCGGACTCCGTAGTCCCTCAATAACTATAGGGTGCGCATGTGGCTGATGATCTGCATTACCTCACCGTCAAAAAGTCCCATGACATCTAAGGCATTGAATTTGGGCATCAGAAGACCACTAGTCAAGCAAGGATTGATTCAAGGCACCTCCTTCGGCGAAATGAGAATGTGAACGAGGCTGTACTTGTGCTCGGGTCGCACTGGCTTCAGGGATGCCTAGTCCTAGGGATAAGTTAAACGAATCTAGAAGGAACAATGAAATACTTAATCAGGTAACCGAGAATATGCGGGCAGCCAATTAACGTACTTCTATAGGCATAATAATCCCTCAAAGACGGTGAATGTAAGGGTAAAATTAGTCGCAAACACCTCAGGCTGCCCCATGTAACCCACCGCGGATGCCCCAGGCCAGAAGCACCTGGTCCGTGCACGATTTCCGAACGCCCTCGACCTCACCTCCCGCATCACTCAACGCCGCCCGTCAACGGCTCTCTTGCCCATGCTCCCTCTGTGCCATCATACATGCCCTAGAGGTTGACTTCAAATGTCCACCCTGGGGTGTGGTTCGCAAAAATGGCGCAAGCAGGTCCTATCACGGACGTTACTCATCGGCTTTTCGCCGAGTTGAAGTCGAAGAATGAGGAGACACGGGTGCGAGCTGCTTACGAGCTTTACGACAACGTTCTCGCTATCTCTCGAGGTATGATATCGCTTCGGATCATCCACTGACTAGCGCTGATTCTGGGTCTTTATCTTAGACTGGTCCCCCGAGAAGTTTTTGGAGTTTTTTAACGCGGTTAGCCAGCGCATAGCACAACTGGTAGTTACTGGGAATGACGCACACGAGAAGATCGGTGGCCTGTTGGCCCTTGATCGTCTGATAGACTTTGAAGGAGTGGACGCTGCGCAGAAGACCACTCGGTTCGCCAGTTACTTGCGCAATGCTCTTCGCAGCAACGACAATGCAGTATTGGTCTATGCTGCTGCGGCTCTTGGCCGTTTGGCTAAACCAGGCGGAGCTCTGACTGCGGAGCTAGTGGAGAGTGAAATACAATCTGCTCTGGAGGCCCTTCAGTCAGAACGACAAGAAAGCCGACGGTTTGCTGCCGTGCTCGTTATCCGGGAGCTCGCGAAAGGCTCACCCACGCTTCTTTATGGCTTCGTTCCCCAGATCTTCGAGCTAATTTGGGTCGCTCTGAGGGATCCCAAGGTTCTCATACGGGAAGCTGCGGCTAATGCTGTCAGCGAGTGCTTTGATATAATCGCTGCTAGAGATTTGCAGGTTCGGCAGCTATGGTTCTCAAGGGTATACGAGGAAGCGCTTTTAGGTCTCAAATCAAGCAATGTGGATTGGATACATGGCTCGCTCCTGGTTCTCAAGGAGCTTCTCCTAAAGGGCGCCATGTTCATGAATGAGCACTACCGAAATGCCTGCGAGATAGTCCTCCGTCTCAAGGACCATCGTGATCCGAAAATCCGCACTCAGGTTGTTCAGACAATCCCGATTCTCGCCTCCTACGCCCCCCTTGACTTCACAGAGACGTACCTCCACAGATTCATGATCTATCTCCAGGCCCAGCTTAAAAGAGATAAAGAACGGAACGCCGCGTTCATCGCTATAGGAAAGATCGCGAATGCTGTTGGGGTCGCCATCGCACAATATCTCGATGGCATCATCGTTTATATCAGGGAAGGTCTAGCAATGAAAGCGTAAGTCCCCAAGCCCCAGTGCACCTAGGTGGCAGTATAGCTAATATACCGAAGGAGGAACCGAGCTGCCGTTCAAGAAGCGCCAATGTTCGAGTGTATCAGTATGCTGTCTTTGGCTGTAGGCCAGGCGCTCAGCAAGTACATGGAAGCATTACTCGATCCCATTTTCGCCTGCGGGCTTAGCGAATCCTTAACCCAAGCGCTGGTCGACATGGCTCACTATATTCCGCCAATAAAGCCCATAATCCAAGAAAAACTACTGGATATGCTAAGCTTGATTCTTTATGGCACTCCTTTCAGGCCTTTGGGGTGCCCAGAGAGCAGATTACCTCCAATGCCCTCATTTGCACGGGATTTCGCCCCTCAAGAGCTACACTCTGACACGGAGATCGCCCTTGCATTGCACACACTAGGCAGTTTTGACTTTTCGGGCCATATCCTTAACGAATTTGTGCGGGACGTGGCGATCAACTATGTCGAGAATGACAACCCTGAGATCCGGAAAGCTTCAGCACTCACCTGCTGTCAGCTGTTTGTTCATGATCCTATCATCAACCAGACAAGCAGTCATTCGATCCAAGTCGTCAGTGAGGTAATCGACAAGCTTTTGACTGTTGGTGTTGGAGATCCCGACCCTGACATCCGACGTACTGTCCTGTGGTCCTTGGATAGGAAATTTGATCGGCACCTAGCTAGACCGGAGAACATCAGATGTTTATTCTTGGCTGTCAATGATGAAGTGTTCCCCGTCAGAGAGGCTGCGATCTGTATCATAGGTCGCCTTTCCAGTGTCAACCCTGCCTACGTCTTCCCACCGCTGCGGAAGCTGCTTGTCAACCTTTTGACAAGTCTCGGCTTTGCTAGCACTGCACGCCAAAAGGAAGAGAGTGCCCAGTTGATCAGCCTGTTTGTTTCGAATGCGACGAAATTGATCCGGTCCTATGTTGATCCTATGGTGACTACACTGCTACCCAAGGCAACCGACGCCAATCCTGGTGTCGCTTCCACTACATTGAGGGCCGTTGGTGAACTTGCAAATGTGGGTGGCAGTGAAATGAAAACATACCTGCCGCAGCTTATGCCGATTATCCTGGATGCGCTACAGGATCTCTCTTCTCATTCCAAGCGCGAGGCGGCCTTGAGGACACTGGGCCAGCTGGCCAGCAACTCCGGTTACGTTATTGATCCATACCTCGAATATTCTCATCTACTCGCAGTCCTTATCAACATCATCAAGACCGAGCAAACCGGGTCTCTGCGTAAGGAGACAATCAAATTACTGGGTATTCTTGGAGCCTTGGACCCCTACAAATACCAACAGATCAGCGAGACCGCGCCGGTAGTTCATCACATCAATGAAGTGCAAACTGTATCTGATGTCGCGCTTATCATGCAAGGCCTCACGCCGTCCAGCGAGGAGTACTACCCTACAGTTGTTATTAACACGCTAATGCAAAACATCTTGCGTGAATCGTCTCTTGCGCAGTATCACTCTGCAGTCATTGATGCCATTGTGACGATATTCAAGACCCTTGGTCTGAAATGCGTACCATTCCTTGGACAGATAATACCAGGTTTCATATCGGTCATCAGAGGATCACCCCCGAGCCGCCTTGAATCGTACTTCAATCAGATGGCGATTCTGGTCAATATCGTGCGGCAACACATACGAGCCTTTTTGCCCGAGATCATTGAAGTCGTCCGTGAATTCTGGGAAGCTTCCTACCAAGTTCAGGCTACAATACTCTCGCTCGTGGAAGCGATCGCCAAGTCATTGGAAGGTGAATTCAAGAAGTACCTTGCAGGCCTGATCCCTCCGATGCTCGACACGCTTGAGAAGGACACCACGATGCGTCGTCAACCTTCGGAGAAGATACTCCACACATTTTTGATATTCGGTACAAGCGGAGAGGAGTATATGCACCTGATTGTTCCCTCCATCGTGCGACTTTTTGACAGGACTCAAAACCCCCAGAGTATCCGAAAGTCCGCTATTGAGACCCTCACCAAGCTTTCACGGCAGGTGAACGTCTCGGACTTCGCATCATTGATGGTCCATTCTCTGTCCCGGGTTGTTGCAGGCACCGATCGCGTGCTGCGACAAGCTGCTATGGACTGTATCTGCGCGCTCATCTTTCAGCTAGGCCAAGACTTCAACCACTACATCCACCTGCTGAATAAGGTCATAAAGTATAACCAGATCAATCATGTCAACTACCACATCTTGGTGACGAAGATACAAAAGGGGGATCCGCTCCCACAAGACCTCAATCCCGAGGAAAACTACGCGGCACTGGCGGATGACACCAATTATGCCGAGATTGGACAAAAGAAGATGGTTGTCAACCAGCAGCACTTGAAGAATGCTTGGGACGCCTCACAGAAGTCTACTCGTGAAGACTGGCAAGAGTGGATTCGACGATTTAGCGTTGAATTGCTGAAAGAGTCACCTTCTCCCGCTCTTCGAGCATGCGCGAGTTTGGCTGGTATATATCAGCCCTTAGCGAGGGATCTCTTCAACGCGGCGTTTGTTTCCTGCTGGACCGAGTTGTATGACCAATACCAAGAAGAGCTCGTCCGGTCGATCGAGAAGGCCCTCACCTCACCTAATATACCTCCCGAAATCCTGCAGGTTCTTCTTAACCTAGCGGAATTCATGGAGCATGACGACAAGGCCCTTCCCATTGATATCCGCACTCTAGGCAAGTACGCTGCTAAATGTCACGCGTTCGCGAAGGCCTTGCATTACAAGGAACTTGAGTTTGAGCAAGACCAGAACTCAGGGGCAGTGGAGGCTTTGATCACCATCAACAATCAGCTTCAGCAATCTGATGCTGCAATTGGTATCTTGCGAAAAGCGCAGGCTTACCGGGATGTGGAGCTCAAAGAGACATGGTTTGAGAAGCTTCAACGTTGGGAGGAGGCTCTTGCTGCGTACAAACGACGTGAGAAGATAGACCCAGATTCCTTCGGAGTCACGATGGGTAAAATGCGCTGTCTCCATGCTCTCGGTGAGTGGAAGGTGCTCTCCGACCTCGCCCAGGAGAAGTGGAACCAGGCATCCCTCGAACATCGCAGAGCCATTGCACCTCTAGCTGCAGCGGCTGCGTGGGGTCGCGGCCAGTGGGAATTGATGGATTCCTATCTTGGTGTAATGAAGGAGCAGTCGCCAGATCGGTCCTTCTTCGGCGCCATCCTTGCCATTCACCGGAATCAGTTTGACGAAGCAACCATGTATATTGAAAAGGCTCGCAATGGTTTGGACACAGAGCTTTCAGCACTGCTGGGAGAGTCGTACAACCGTGCCTACAATGTTGTTGTGCGTGTTCAAATGCTCGCTGAGCTCGAGGAGATCATTACGTACAAACAGAACATTGGCGATCCCGAGAAACAGGATTCGATGCGTCAAACATGGAACAAGCGACTACTCGGCTGTCAACAAAATGTAGAGGTATGGCAGCGCATGCTCAAGGTTAGGGCGCTTGTCACCTCTCCTCGTGAGAACCTCGACATGTGGATTAAATTCGCCAATCTCTGTCGCAAATCCAACCGTATGGGACTCGCCGAGCGGTCGCTCGCATCACTGGAGACCGTGGTTTCCGACAGCAACGGCACGAGGGCAATTGCTCCCCCAGAAGTTACCTATGCCCGATTGAAGTTCAACTGGGCCACCGGACGTCAACGCGAGGCCCTTCAAATGTTGAAGGAGTTCACTTCAAGCCTGACAGAAGACCTTACACGGTTCAATGCTCTCATGTTATCGCAGGCGGATCATAATGGAATAAATGGAGTCAATGGCGTGAACGGAGTCAACGGAATAGCGGATGCCAACCATGCGGATGCAATGGGGCTGCGAGAACGCATCGGCGATGTTGCTAAGTTCAGAAGGCTACTAGCAAAGAGCTATCTCCGCCAAGGTGAATGGCAGACAACGCTGCAGCGAGGTGATTGGAGACCGGAACACGTTCGTGAAGTGCTCAATGCGTATGCCGCTGCGACCAAATACAACCGTGATTCATACAAAGCATGGCATTCGTGGGCATTGGCGAACTTTGAAGTCGTTACGACGATTGCTAGCCAAGCCAGCAGAGATGGCACGACAATGGCCATGGTCCCCGGACACATTGTCACGGAGCATGTAATACCTGCACTTCGCGGCTTCCTCAGGTCAATTTCACTGTCGTCAACCTCATCCCTGCAGGATACATTGCGGTTGCTGACACTCTGGTTCACCCACGGTGGTGATCAGGAAGTGAACAGTGTTGTAGCAGAAGGCTTTACGGCAGTGAACATTGATACCTGGCTTGCTGTCACTCCACAGCTTATAGCTCGGATCAATCAACCTAATATCCGAGTGCGGAGTGCTGTTCATCGGCTGCTGGCTGAAGTTGGCAAAGTACATCCCCAGGCTTTGGTGTACCCATTGACCGTTGCAATGAAGTCTAATGTTGCTCGACGATCGCAATCCGCCAGCAACATTATGGACAGCATGCGACAGCACAGTGCGAAACTCGTGGAGCAAGCTGATGTTGTAAGTCATGAGCTGATTCGAGTCGCGGTCTTGTGGCACGAGCTCTGGCACGAAGGCCTAGAAGAAGCCTCCCGACTCTACTTTGGCGATCACAATGTGGAAGGCATGTTTGCAACTCTAGCGCCCTTGCATGAGATGCTCGATAAGGGTGCCGAGACGTTGCGCGAGGTGTCATTTGCTCAGGCCTTTGGTCGCGATCTTGCAGAGGCGAAGCACTATTGTATGCTCTACCGGGAGACTGAAGAGATTGGTGATTTGAACCAAGCATGGGATCTTTATTACACAGTATTCCGCAAGATCAGCCGGCAGCTGCCACAGCTCTCCACGCTCGATTTGAAATACGTTTCACCCAAGCTCAAGGATTGTATTGACCTTGACCTTGCGGTCCCAGGTACATACCAAAGTGGCAGGCCCATCATTCGCATCCTCAGCTTCGATCCCATATTACACGTACTACAGACCAAGAAGAGACCACGGAGAATGACATTGAAGGGCAGTGACGGAAACTCGTACATGTACTGTGTGAAGGGACACGAAGACATCCGGCAGGATGAACGTGTCATGCAGCTCTTCGGCCTGGTCAACACACTACTTGATAACGATGGAGAGAGTTTCAAACGGCATCTGTCTGTGCAACGGTTCCCTGCAATCCCGCTATCACAGAGCTCTGGTATCCTTGGATGGGTTTCCAACAGTGACACATTGCATGCCTTGATCAAGGAATACCGAGAAAGCCGACGTATCTTGCTGAACATTGAACACCGCATTATGCTCCAAATGGCGCCCGACTACGATAATCTTACTCTTATGCAGAAGGTGGAGGTGTTCGGCTATGCCATGGACAATACCACTGGAAAGGACCTCTATCGCGTTCTATGGCTTAAGAGTAGTAGCTCGGAGGCCTGGCTGGAGCGCCGCACGAACTACACGCGTTCCCTTGGTGTCATGTCCATGGTTGGTTACATACTTGGTCTTGGCGATCGTCACCCGTCCAATTTGCTTCTGGATCGGGTTACCGGAAAAGTGGTCCATATCGACTTCGGTGACTGCTTCGAGGTGGCGATGCACCGTGAGAAGTATCCTGAGAGGGTACCTTTCCGGTTGACTCGTATGTTGACATTTGCCATGGAAGTCAGCAATATCGAAGGAAGTTACCGGATTACTTGCGAGGCTGTCATGCGTGTCTTGAGAGAGAACAAGGATTCCCTCATGGCTGTTTTGGAAGCGGTAAGCACATGGCACCATATCGTGTCCCATGGATGACATTATGCTAATGGTTTATGTTGTAGTTCATTCACGATCCACTGATCAACTGGCGTTTGGGGATCCGCGAGTCCCCAGATCGAATGCCATTTTCTGCCGAGCGTCGTCAGTCGGTCGTCTCTAACATTAATATCGATCATGGGGTACAGCCCAGCAACTTCTCTCGTCACCGCCGGCCTTCCATTCTTGAGGGTGGTATCTTGGATGCACAGGAGGGCATTCCCAACGAAGCTAGAGAGGCACAGAACGCGCGAGCGCTCCAGGTGCTTGCCCGTGTCAAGGAGAAGCTGACAGGAAGAGATTTCAAGCCGAGTGAGGAACTCAACGTCAGCGACCAGGTGGACAAGCTTCTTGCGCAAGCCACCAGTGTCGAGAACATCTGTCAGCATTGGATTGGATGGTGCAGTTTCTGGTGATTCTTATAGCGCCGTTCGTGTTTTTCTAGGGTCTTATTGTGGCGCAAATCATGGCAACGGATTTTGCATGGCATCATTCTTCGTTCCACGCCTTTTCAGCTTCTCGATCATGTTTTTACAATTTTCGTTCTTACTTTCTATGTAGCATTATTCCCTTATTATTCTCACCCAGGTACTGTGTTTGCCATGTACCCGCGATGGGGACGCATGGATTATCAAGGGCCTGCTTTCATGGTGATACTATTGCTTTTCACATCTTGCAACGGCAACATGGCATGGAACAGTTTGTGATATAGACAGTGAATTTGACTTTACCCATATCCCGTATTGAATCTGGCAAAATGCAGTTCTAATGATGAAGTATACCTGTCTCGAGGCAGACCATTTTCAGGTGATTGCGCGAAATAGCCGAGGTCACGGGCGCGAAGGACGGTCAGCTGCAAATCCGCCGAACGCTGGAGCTTAATTCCTTCCTTCCTCACACTCGGTCCCTTGCTTTCTGTCTTTCCATCCCCTGTTTCTCATGATGTGAGTTTAGTCCATCGTTGAGACCCACGCGTATGACCCGTTAGAATCTACCGCACCATGGCGTCCGACTCCACGCCTAACCCCGACCTCCATCCGGTGGTTCGCAACGCTCTCCGCATTTCCCTCAGCGCCAAGGAGTACAAGCTGCTCCATGATTATGCCGTTCAGCGCACTCCCTCCGCCATCCAGAACAAGCTTCCCTCGCCTTCAGCTTTCGAGGCTATAGTTCGGTCTAAAAACAAGCATAATGAAGCTTCCATTCGAGCCTCGTTACGCGTGTTTGTTTTGTCCAGCTCCCTGTTGAAGCTCGTTGACGTCGTGGCTGGGAGGATCCGCGGCGACCTAACCCAGTAAGCTCTCTCTTCTTTATACGCTTATTGTAGACCATCAGAGGTATGAGGGGACGGTTCATGTACGTGGCTGATCTCCAATATCTTTTACAGAAAGAATACATCGCGCACCTCTTTTGCGCGCTCCCCAAACTTTCGCCTCTCCATCTCCCTGTCGCTTCTTCTTCTCATCCACCGCTTCCTCTATCGCTTCTTCGTCAAGTTGCGTGCCAACCTTCGTACAGACGATGCTCGACCTTTCCGGGACCGCAACCCACGGATTTCCAGAGCACTCACGTCTCGCTTTGCGCCCGCAGTTGGTGCCAGTATTGCGGGGCTTGCGTTGGGAATATGTCCACAGAAGCAATTGCGGCTGACGGCAGCAATCTACACAGCTACTCGTAGCTTGGAGTTTCTGTTTAATGCGCTGGATGAGAAGGGATGGTTCAAGGATCGACCTCGATGGTTCGGAAGCTGGTTGTTAATGCCAATTGCATGCGCACAACTCTTCCATGCCTTCATTTTTGATCGCGAGACTGCACCCAAGGTTCGTTGATATTGTTTGACACCGAAGCTATTCATACGCTGATTTGTACAAAAAGTGGTTTGGAGATGTTATCCTGAGGCTCTCTCCGAGCTACGTGCGCGGCCGTCCCGAGTCCTTGCCCCTGGAGATACCATGGCCAGAGAAGGAAGATGTGGTTGATTCCTTGGCCAACATCGCCAACCTACGGTGGCCGTAAGTTCTAGCACCTACTTTAACATCAGACCTTCCCAACTAATGCATCTACCAGGGCATTTGCCTCCCCTATCTTACACCCAGGAAGCCCAAACACGCTACCGTCTACACTAACATCTATCTCCCCTATCACCGGCCCTGCCCATCCAGCAATCTCCAGTCTCTCGTGTGCCTTACTCCACCCAAACAGCCCCAGCTGCAGTACCGCTTTTCTGCACCACATCCTCCTCTTGGTTCCACCGCTCGCTCGCTTCCTTACCACCGTCACTCTAGCCCTATCTCTACGCAACATTAAGGCCCTCATGAACGAGCCTATCAGTTCCATCAACAAACTCTCCAAGAAAATCATTACCATGACCGCCATCCTCTCTGCGTCTACTGGTTTCGCATGGGGTAGCATCTGTCTCTGGAACACCCTTCTCCCACGCTCTGTGCTTCCCGCTAAACGGTTCTTCCTTAGTGGCGCGCTCGCAGGCGTTCCATTTGCTTTCCTCACAAACAGCCGTGGTATCTTCATGTACTTCTTCCGAGCAGCTGTGGACTCGGCCTGGAAGACCGGCGTCAAGCGCGGATTATGGAAGGGCTGGAAGGGCGGAGACCTAAGCATCATTGTGCTAGCGTGGGCACTCATTGGGTCTATTCTTGAGACGAGGCCGTCCGCTGTGCAGGGGAAGGGTGTGCGGAAGGCACTCGCGTGGTTGAAGGGGGATGGCTTTGCGGATCCAGTTGAGATGGCGGCGAAGAGGAGGGCGAGAAAAGCAGCAGCGTTGAAGGCGGAAAAAGCGGAGAATGAGCCTTGAATCCAGTATATTGTCGGCAAGTCTTATAGTTCCGGTGCATTGTTTCAATTCATGTTCATAGGTTCTTTTATGCAAAGCGAGGGGTGGAGTGTAACTACTTGTCGCGTGATTGATGCAAATGCCAGAAAGACACCCAACAGTGATCCTAATAATACCGGCCTTTGGTTCCTAACAATTTGCACTGCACTATTTTGCTCATCACTGCAGAGATTCCAATGGTAGAAGCGGCACAAAAGTCCAGACTCTTACCACCATCGCCCACCTTATTATTTTCCACCTCCTGCTTAGCTGGATTAAGCGCGAGAAAACCATGTAAATATATCAGTAGTTGCTATCATGATGACGACGGGCAAAAGCCCAAGCAGTCCGACAAGCGGCAAACTTTGACAGAGCAGATCGCAAACGCGACGAGGTTGAAACCGCAGCAGTTGCCAGCATACTTCGCAATTGTTGAATGCAGTGCAAAGGCACATGTAGAGAGAGCAAAAATCAAAAAGAGATTCCATTGCGGGGAATCGAACCCCGATCTCCTGTGTGAAAGACAGGTATGATAGCCGTTACACTACAATGGATGGTATTCGAGATTTGCGCGCATTTTGAAGCTATATGAATCAAACCTCAACTGTCAGCTAGATATCGCCGTTAATTGACCTACCATAAACTGTTTGGACTGAAGTGGCATTAGGACCCACAGGGAGGCGATTGTAAGAAGGGTAACAACATTCTGAAGATGTCATGGCTCCTGAGATAAATCTGCTGATTAATGACTACCCGCTTCATGATCCAGACAGAATCAATTGAGCGCGATTGATTCCCCGATGGAACATAAGGGTGATGCTGGATTGAGGGTCCAGACCCAGTCTGACCCCCGGAAAGGGCACCAATCCCCGCTGCCCCAACCCCCGGCGGGGGAACTCGCGCCGGTGATTACCAGAAGCGGAAGTGTGCTTCTATATGCGGTGAGAATGTATTCGTGTCTCTGCGACAATTCCAGGATAGACTGATAGTCAACTAACTGCTTAGTGGGTGGGATATCGATGGAGAAGTCATGCATTCATCCCCAACTGCATCCCCCTCATGAGGAGGCTGGTCCATTTTATCATACTCGATGCCTGGATGCCTGCTATTCTGAATGCTGTGCTGCCTCCAGGAACCCCTTTTCCGACCGGAATCCGACCCACGGGGCAACTCTGGAGGATGATATCCGGGGTCGCAGTGGTCATCTCCACGGGGGTCCAAACCCTCCAAGCGCCTTGCCCGGCTATTCCAGGCTGATCTCCTACTAGTCTAGTGGCACACTCTGGGATTGTTTCTCCTGCCAACTAAACAACTGAGGAGAAGGTACTTGGCAGGTCCAGCTTCTCCGCATCCCCTCCGATAGAGCTAGACCGACTCTTGCTGGAGCTTCTCGTCGTGTGGTTAAATTGCACGTCCTCGCTGTTGTCGTTCCCTCTCACCGTCCTCAATTCTCCTCACATCTTCTACAGACCGTTACACGAAACACCCCTTTATCTAACCCAATTCCTCATCTACACTCTTCCTCTCCTCCTTTATCATCACAATGTCTGCCAGAAAGCTGAAGGTTGGCTGTGCCGGTCTGGGCCGCATGGGCAAGCGTCATGCCCTCAACTTCTTGCAGCGTACTCCCCGTGCAGACCTTGTCGCCGTCAGCACTCCGGACGACTCGGAACTGGAATGGGCCAAGGCCAACCTTGCTCCGTACGGAGTCACGGCATACAAGAACTACGAGGACATGCTGAAGCACGAAGGCCTGGAGGCCGTCGTCGTTGCGTCCGCGACCGCCGTGCACGCTGAACAGGCCATTAAGGCCATTGAGGCTGGCAAGAACGTTCTCTGCGAGAAACCCTTGTCGACCAGTGTCGAGATCGTATGTTTTCACCTCCTTGCCCCCCGATGCCTCCCTAGCAATGCAGCTAACATGTCTCTTCAATAGTCCCAAACCGTCCTCGATGCAGCAGCCAAGAAGCCCGAACTCAAAGTAATGTGCGGTTTCTCCCGTCGCTTCGATGCCTCCTACCGTGATGCATTCAACAAGATGTCCGCTGGTGGAATTGGTGCTCCCGCCGTCATGCGCAGTCAGACCTGCGACAAGCTGGACCCCACCGGGTTCTTCGTCGCCTACGCCGAGTTCTCGGGTGGTATCTTCGTGGACTGCTCCATCCACGATATCGACCTGGCTCTGTGGTTCTTCGGCCAAGACAGCAAGGTCAAGTCTGTGTCTGCGGTGGGTATCACCGCCGTTGAGCCCGACCTGCGCAAGCATAACGACCGGGACAACGCCGTCGGTTTGGTGGAGTTCCATAACGGCAAAATCGCCTACTTCTACGCCTCGCGCATGATGGCAGCCGGCCAGGAAGACACCACCGAAATCATCGGCACCAAGGGTAAGCTGGCCGTTAACACCCAGCCTGCCCTGAACCTGGTCAACATCTTCGACGAGAACGGTGTCCGTCGCGAGATCCCCCAGCACTACTACGATCGCTTCGAGTATGCATTCGTCACTGAGGCGAATGAATTCACGGCCTGCTGTCTCGAGAACACCCCTGTCCCTCTGAAGCTCGAGGGCGCCGTCCAGGCAGTCCGCATCGGCGCTGCCCTTCAAGAATCGCTGATCACGGGCGAGAAGATCTTCTTCGACGAGGCTGGTCAGCGTATTCCCAAGGCAAGACTTTAAAGATATGATAGACACGATAGATTCCTGTTATGACTAGTACTTTCCTCATGTTAATGAAAAGCGCGATGGCTGTTCTTGTTTAGAGCAGCATCTCATCATACTACATTAAAACTAAGCTGTAGCATTGCGTATATACACCTCACCCACTAAGTAAGTCGTGCTCAAACTCCACATCAACCCCCCTCCCAGTACTCTACTAAAATACTACTGACAGAAGCAAGTGAAACTCCATAGCAGCAACATCCACCCGTCTCCAACTGACACCACCTCATCTACTTCCAGATACAATGTTACTACACAGAAAATCCATCTGACAATGCAAACTATAACCAGCTCCATCTCACCTACTACGTAAGTAGTAGCTAAAATCGCCAACAGCTAAACTAACTAAAAGTTAGCTTACATATGACCTGCAAGCCCCAAACCCCACCTACCCCGCCACTTCCCCCAAAAAAGCAAGCTCCGCCGTTCCAGACTTTGGTTGAAAGTTTTTCTTAACCGAGATGGGCAACATTCCCCGGAGAGAAACCGTCTCCGGGACCTTGTTTCCGAAGTATGCGGAATGGCAGATCTTTATTGGTGGTGTGTGGTCATGCGGGTTGGAGATCATACTGGTTGGATTTTTTTAGCCGATGGGGATAGTAGTCTAATTTGCTATGGGTGTTTAGTATTTGGTAGATGAGGGGTAGATGCTTGTTTCTTTAGATCTCTGATCTGAGCTATTGTGTTCATATACTTCTTTCTAAGGGGGTTCTGTGTACCGATGAAATTACAGTGGAGAAAGGGCAAGAAATTTATTGGAGGAGGAAAAGGGAATCTATCCCATTCTTTGATTCAAAAGTGACTGCAGTAGGTCGTAGATCATCGCTTGCGTGCATGCTAGGAGGGTAAAAGGGGAATAAGAAGCAGAAGTGTTGTAAGAAGAAGCAATACATATAATCATCCAGCCAAAATCATACATCATATCAATGCTCTACCACTTGATCACCTTGTTGGGGAAGTATTCGTCGATCAGGTCGAGGTAGTATGGCTGTTCGACATTTGTTAGTCTTATGTTCACCAAAGTCGGAGTAATGGGGTAGGCTTACCTTGAGTTCCTCAGGGCTAGGGACATCGTCGCTCTTGCTGTACAGGTCGTATGGGTTGAATGCCTTGACAGCCTTGAACATCTCCTTGTCGTGGTCGTTCATCAGCTCGTGGTAAGCGCCGGCATTGTGCCAGGGGTAGAACGAGTGGTAGCGGATCATGGCGAGGGCCTCGTCCGGGAGAGTGGACTGGTCCTTGACGACGTGGTAGAGGTATTCGTCGTGACCCCAGGAGAGCATGACGTTGTCGAGGCCGCAGCCGGGGCTGTAGATTCCGAACTTGGTGTCGTAGATGGGGTGGCCGAAGTCCTCGTTGTCCTTGAAGGACTCACGGCCGTAGATGATGCGCTCATCGAAACCACAGCCGACGGGGAAGGTGTCTCCGACGACATCCCACTGGCCCTGGGCGTCGAAGAAGTAGAGCAGCTTGCCCAGGTCGTGGATGAGACCGGTCAGCTGCATCCAGCGGGGCTTGCCGTCGCGGCGAATGGCCTCGGCGGATTGCAGGAGGTGCTCGATCTGAGAGAGGCTGGTGTCCGGGTCGGACTCGTCGATGAGGGTGTTGAGCTTCTCCATCGCCTCCCAGATGGTCATCTCCGCGCGGGTCTTGGAGTGGAACTCGTTGCGGGCCTTGAGGTTGTAGGCCACGGTCTGCTTGGTGTGCTGTTCCTTGTAGAAGTTCTTGACCCGGTCGCAGGCGTCTTCGTACTGACGGAACTTGGTCTTGTCCTTGTTCTTGTCAAACTCGGACTCTTCGTACAGACCCTTCTCCTTCTTCATGTTGTCCTTGAGGACATTGACATTGTCAATAGCATCCGACAGCTCCTCGAGAGCCTGTCCGTCACGCTTGGTGTTAAACACCGGGGATTCAGGAGATACAGCGACTGGTGCCATTGTGATTGTAACTTTTTTTTTGAACGTGTATGAAGAAAGAAAGTGTGTTGAGCTTGGGGGTATCAAAGAAATGCTCTGGGGTTTGTTGCTGGGAAGGAAACAAGCTCGAGGAGTGGGAGCATAAATATCAATGTTTCACGCACTAGAAGACCGAAAATGTATGGTAATTCCGAAAGACCGACGCCTGCCAGTCCTTGTGTGGATGACGTTGTATGATTCTAGAAATCCGAAGAGAATAGATCGTCGAGACCATGGCGCTGGGGTCTTTGGGAGTGGGAGCATGGCTGGAGCCCGGAAAGTGGCTTCCGCAGCCAGAGAATGTCGGTGATACGCCTCTGAGGATCGCCCCCGCCAGCGTGGAACGTGCGGCGATCTGTCCTACAGATCTGGATCCAACGGATACACTCAGCGTTGCGGAGAAGTGAAATCATCCCATTCCAGGCCCCAGTCTTGGCTGCTGCAGTGGGCGCATTTTAGGATACTGGTTTCCGATGCGGACGAACCTCGGGTTCACGCACGGCCCGTCGCCATCCAAAGAGAATCCCTTCATTGCTAAACTTGTGTCTTCTGCAATCTCCCTGTCTGTGTGTCGTGGCGATCATGACAATGATCGCTGGTCTTTGATCTTCCTGTCCTGATTCTCGGCGCTATCTCAGCAGTCCTGGACGCGCCCACGATCGCTGCAAGGCCGGATATCAGTCAGCCAATCTCGCATACTGAGCCAGTGACCTTGAGAAGTGGAGCTGATTGCGACGGGGTCGACGGCTATCGAACATTAACTTCCCGCAATTTGGGAATGCCGCCTTCTTGCTATTGCATTGCCCTTTGCCATTCTGTGGGTGAATAATTGAGCTAAACAAGCGATATGTGTATGAAGCAGCCAACATACGTTGACTGAAGCGGGAGTATCTATGTGGCAGTTGATGGGAGGGACTTGAGAGGATGAAGATTGACAGGCGAAGCTGGAGATGGTCTCGGACTCATTTGGCCCGAATGGCGGGGATGCGGAGGGGCGGCGTGGGGGTCGCCCTTTTCTTCCCCTCCTCCCCTCCTCCCTCTTTACCAGCCTTATCCTCGTTTCCTTGTAGTCTATCTGTCTTCTTCTTCTCTTCTTTACCCTCACGTAGGCTCTACATATCTCATTCCCTCCAATTCTCTTCGTATATTGCCAAAATGGGTTCGACTTCGACCGTCGCAGACACCCGCTTCAAGCTGAACACCGGGGCTGAGATCCCTGCTCTCGGACTCGGTATGATACATCTTCAGATAGTAGCCACAAGGACATTCTGGCTAACGTCTGTGCAGGAACCTGGCAGTCAGGCCCTGGAGAGGTCGAAAAGGCCGTGGCACATGCCATCTCCGTTGGATACAGACACATTGATACCGCTTTTGCTTACGGAAACGAAGGAGAAGTCGGCAAGGGTATCAAGGCAGCCATCGAGTCTGGAGTTGTCAAGCGAGAGGACCTCTTTGTCACAACTAAGCTCTGGAGCACATGGCACTACCGAGTGGAACAGGCTCTGGACCAGAGCTTGAAGAACTTGGGGCTGGACTATGTTGATCTCTACCTGGTCCACTGGCCGGTGGCTATGAACCCTAATGGTGAGTCCTCCACTAATTCAGACTCAAGGCGATGCGCATGTTGACACTACAAAGGAAACCACCCCAATATTCCCACCCTTCCCGACGGTTCCCGCGACCTGCACCTCAACCACTCCCATATCAACACTTGGAAGGATATGGAGAAGCTTGTCGGTAGCGGAAAGACCAAGGCCATTGGTGTTTGCAACTACAGCAGGCCCTACCTTGAGGAGCTCCTCGCCCAAGCCACCGTGGTCCCGGCTGTCAACCAGATTGAGAACCACCCCTGTCTTCCCCAGCAGGAGGCGGTCGACTTCTGCAAGGAGAAGGGCATTCACATCACGGCATACAGCCCTCTCGGCAGCACGGGCAGTCCGCTGCTGACGGCAGAGCCCATTGTCGAGGTTGCGAAAAAGAAGGGTGTCGACCCAGCCACGGTCCTGCTGAGCTGGCACAGTACGTATCTTCCATGCCGAATAATGCGAGAATTATCACTAACTGCATCCTCCGTATAGTCAGCCGTGGCTCTTCTGTCCTTGCCAAGTCCGTGAACCCCTCTCGGATTGAGGGCAACCGCAACCTGGTGGCCTTGGATGATGCTGACATGGCTACCATTGCCAAATACACGAATGACCTGGCCTCGAAGAACGCCTTTCAGCGTTTTGTTTTCCCTCCTTTCAAGCTTGACTTTGGATTCCCGGACAAGATCGGCCGCGTATAAGCTCCTGGTGAGTGGTCGATGGTCTAAGATGTTAGCAATCAAGGGTATAGAGTTATAGATGGTCTCAGGAGATGTATAGCTCATAGAGCAGAGATGTCTGTACATTCCTTCCTACTTTACTGTGCATAATGAAAATGAAACTGTTATGATATCCATCTGGCATGTCCGCCAACTTCCGTGCAGAAAAGAAACAAGAACGAAAACAAACTCCAGGGCTATTCAACGTGAGCACGTGCACATCCTCCAGTGAATCTCACAATAGCAACGCCCTCCAGCAAGTGACAAGAACGCACGAAACACAAAGAAGTCCCTAGAAGTGAAAATAAAAACCCAATATTGCTGATGCTTCGCCGCCCAGCTCTGTTTCTTTTACTTCCCTCACGCGCCCCTTCGCCTTCTTCTCTCCTGTGTTACCCACCTCATCCTTCCTACCTTTCCATCGAAGCACCTTTCGTCTATCTTCATCACTTGCACATCGGAGCCACACAAAGCATCAGGTAGGCGTGCCACCCCTCTCTCCCACGTCACCAGGGAGAGCAGGGGTGGTTCGCTACTGTTTGGCGTCTGGCGACCGACACCCAATCCACTCTCTCTCCAGGCTGACTTCCGTTGTCACCGTCACGGGTCCTTGGCCTTGCTTGCAGACACTCTTGAACACGAGATACTCCCCGTACCCCAACTCCTTCGTCTCTTTGGGGAGGTTTTGCTCATTGATCTCGCCTTGTCTGCCAAGCTCTCGCAGTGCCTGCAACCGTCGTGACTCCCTCTCACTCATTATCGCTTGTGCTAGGTTGTTCGACAGTACGCGACGAGCACTCAAAGTCCTGAACACCTCTTGCAGATGGACAAATGGGAGACTGATCAGGACAGCAGAGGCGACCAAGGCCTCGCGGCTCGGCTTGTTCTCAGTCGTTGTTGAGTTCATGGAAGCAGATCCTGGCTCAGAGCCAATAGCGCCAGATGCAGTGTGCAAGCTCTCTGGGATACGATTTGGGAGATGCAGGCTTTGGGCTTGAGCGTACAAGACGAACTTGTCATCGATGCTCTCAGCGATGAATGACAAGCCAGCCCTGGCCAGCAATGGAGCCCAGATCTCTCGAAGCTGTCGGTTTCTAATCAGGACATGTCCGGACCGAGTATGATTGGCACGAGGACTGCCCGGCGGAGTGTCGGTTCCTTCCAGAATGATTGAGAATCTATCCACGCGGAGACCAAAGTGGATGATTGTTTCGACAGTGCTCCAGTCGATCAGCTCCAATGCCATTCTGATGCCTGCTTCGAGGATGTTACTGATATGGAGAAATGCTCCAGATGCGGCGTACGAAAATGCTAGATCGAGCATGGCTGTTCTGATCGGGAATGGGTACATGCTTTGAGACTCTTCGGTGTAACCCAGTACTGCAAGGGCCTCGGTTCTCAGTCGTTCGCCGTGGAGAAGTGGTGACCCATACAAGTTGCGAATTGCATGTTCGAATCCATGTATCAAGTTGACTTGGTCACCCAGTGTCGCAGCAATCTCCCGGTGTCCCTGCTGATAAAGTTGAGTCCGCAGAAGCGCGGCGACGAACGGGCTGCGAGCGATAACGGCCACCTGCACGGGGACTATGGTGGATTGGTGCATGCCGTTGCTCAATGTCAATTTGAAGTGAAAATCGCACAGCTCACGATTTTCGAACAGTTGAAGGAGATGCTCCGAAAAAGCCTCCATATTCTTGAGCTGATCATCCATCACGCCTGGCATTCTGTTAGCTTCCAATTACGAACAGATTGCCCTTGTACACATTCAACTCACTTTGTTTTCCACCAGAAGTGTTGCGTTCAGCAACCACCTTACCGCCTTCCACACCTTGACCAACGTCGCTAGGGGTCTCAGTGTCGCTCTTGGCCGACACAGTATTGAGATATGTCAAGCAAGTGCAGCAATCGCCTTTGTGGTGCGAACAACAGCAAGACGATCTCGGTGGACAGTCACAGCCTTGCATGGGCTTATGAACACAACAGCTTGGATCGAAGCGGCAAGGAGCCCGCATGTGAGCCCGACAATACTGCTTAATTTCTCTGTCGTTAGCAGCGCGATAATTGTCCTGGCTGTTAGGTTCATCGGATCGTGTGCCCGAAGTACGTACTGCCTCTTCGGAAGAATAGTCCGCGACTGAGGTGGAAGGTTGCGAATTCAAGTTCCCAGTGGCACGCATCTCGCTCACTGGACTGCGTTGCGAACGGTTGACGTGCGAAAGATTGTCGACACTACCACTATCAGGTCGTCGCTGGCTGGCGGACGAAGGACTCGACATCGCAGGCACAGCCCGGGCGTTCCGCTGTTCCCCGCAAGATGAGCTAGCCTGAGCACTAGCATTGCGTTTCTCTTGGATCTGGCGGTCGAGTCTGTCGCGGATCCTCATCGCTTCCATGATCTTCGCCTTGAGAGAAGCTGCTTCAGCGGCTGGTGCCATTCTGGCCACTGGCGAGTTCGTCACCACAGAAGAAGCCGGCTCGCCAATGCTTGTGTCCTCTCCCGCGCTGGAATAGGGTGGAGGCAGATTATTACTCTTGACTTCGACACCAGCAGCAGTAGCAATGGCGGTATCAGCAGCAGCAACAACAACATCGTCACGATGGTCATCGCCGTTCTCAGTCTGCTTCTGTTGTTGTCCCTCCTTGGCCACGTCACAGCCACTATCAACAACAACAATTTCCT